ATTCCTGCTCTGCCGGGTTTCTCTTTTGAGAACATTATCTGCTAGGTAATGTCAGCAGCCACGCAGTCGCTTCTCTTCTGTAACTGCATGACTTACAAATAACATTTGAATTGTGGAAAAAAGCCATCAAACAGGCTGGCACCATCAGCAGTCGGCTTCACTCTCAGAGAGCTGGGAAGCAGTGGCTAAAACAGGGTCCACAGCACTATTAGCGCTCACCAGGATAGATTAACAACACAAATCACAGGTGGCAACAGCTGTCAAGGTCACTAACGAGCCTGAAAACCCTCAAGCACTTAGAAAGATGCAAGATTGTTTGGTAAAATGGTAAAATAAGTTTTATCACAGTGAGTGAAGAGTGGGGGATCCTGATTTTCTGTCTAAAAATCCCAAAGTATTGGATAACCTCCCCCAAATCTGTGGTTTTCTGCAATCAAAATTAAAAACCATTACATAATGGGTATCAGTTGAACAGTGTTTTAGTGGTGTATTTACAATTTTAAAGCAATTCAGAAGCCTACCAGTGCCTCAAACATTATAACAAAATCAATTCCAAATACTTATAAATTTTGGTGTTTGATTTTGGTTTTTTAATCATAAAAAAATCAGCCTCCCTGTCCCCATTGCTCACCAGAATCCAAGTCCAGCTGTGGCTGTCCCCCCCCCACTACTGGTGTGGAAGTCCCAGTGATCACAGCAGCAACACCGTCTCCCTGCCCTGCTCCCCCCTCCAACACTGGGTCCCGCCGGCTAGGCTGCAGAAGCCCCTGGGTAGAGAGGGCAGCAGAGTGGGGAAGCCCCGAACTCTACAGTGGACAGCCCACATCCTCCCCCACCCTGGGCACAAATCTGGGGGAGGATGAGCCCCCCGCATGCCCTCCACCCCAGAAGTATGAGTGGTGAGGAGCCAGACCCTCCCACCACCATGCAGACAAGCCACCCATGGCTCCTTTCCACCCCCAGCTGGGCCTAACAGTAGTGCATCCCCATCCCAGCCTCAGGTACTGACCCTAGCCCCAGCCACCAACCCTGTCCCACGCCCTCCTTCACCATGGGGGCCTCAATCTTACCCCCCATTCCCACGTTGCCTATGCCCCCTCTTACCTATAGACTTACCTGTAGGCAGCTGGGAAGTACTTTCCACTTCTGCCTGTCTGTATTGCTGGCCATGTACATGTACCCATGCACAGCACATGTACGTGGTGCCCTCTGCATCCCACTAGCCCCAGCCCCATGCAGCCACTTGCAGGCAATAACCCTGACAGTCTACAAGGGGAAACCCACCATTTCATGCCTTTTTTTCCTTTAAAGGAGAAAAATCCACATTTTTCTGCGGCCAATGGAAAACCCAGATCTGTGGTGAAGAGTAATTTGGTGCGAATTCTACAATTAACGTAATAAAACTGCTAGATGTTAGACATTTTCAGCCCAGGCTTCTGGCAGCTCCTAGCTTTTATCCTTCAACAAATTACTACATAACTGCTGCATTCCCATTATTCACTTACATACATTCTCTCCCTCTCAGTTATCCTAGCCTTTCTGGAACTAAAATATTACTTCTGACTTCAAGCATCAATCCAGCAGTCAGCCTGGTTTGGGAGCAGTAGGGAGGGAAATGCCTGGGCCTACATGACATCTAACTGAAGTCATCAGGGACCTGGGTGGATGCAGGAGTTTGATGCAGGATCAGGGCAAATTGTCTCTCAGTTACACCTGTGCAAGTTTGCTGATACCAAAGAAGCTGAGTTTAGCTGCAGGCAGAACTTGACACAGAGTTTACTGTTGTTCTAGATCAAGGGTATTTATTACCTGAACAGGTTTCTACTTGATCCCATGATATGTGAGACAGGACAAATGGCATTATATCCCTCTTGGATGCAGATGGAAAGAGGAAACCCAAAGCTTGCGATCCCATCCATTTCTGTCAATTCTTTTCTCTTTGCCATAGCAACGTTATACCATAGGAGTTATACTGCGTTATACAGCAACATAGTGGCGGCATCACGGCTTTTGCCTGTGGACACTATGGCAAAAGTTTCCCTACCTAGAACAGAAGTGCCTTGGATTGAAAAAATGGTCTGTATCCATCTAAAACAAATTCCTTTCAAGTAAAGGAGCTCTAATCCTAGTGGTTAAAGCGTGTTTTCATTGTATTGAATCCAGAGTTTCAGAATGTATCTGGGCCATATCAGGGTCACTTCTTGAAACACTTTAGACTCATGAACTAGTCCTAACATCCTTGCCTTGTGGAAAAATGGTTCTAAACTTTCCTCTGATTTCCAGAGCATGATTTCATTCTTCTGCAGCTGCAACATTCTAGCTTGGGTGTTTTTGGTTTGAAGTGACTTTTTGAAAAGTTGAAGAAAATGTTACTTTTACAATAAAAATTTATCAATAGGATAAAGACAGGATACCTGTGTGTGACAGAATCTACTAATACAGGAATCCAGAACCCATCGTTCAGAAACTGCAAAGAATCTCCTTCTTCCACACAGTAACCAAAAGGACAGATCATGCTTTACAAAGGTCCCAATTATGAAGTTGTATGGCATATCAAGTATAATTCAATCCCTGAATATGGCAGGACTTCTTGCAAATCTGCCTGTGTCAATCATGAAGGGACCTACAGCTTTGGCACTGGTAGGGACTTGCATCAAGTCCATGAAGCTTGACGCTGTATGGTCTTTCCTGAATGACTGCCCTTGGGAAAGAAAGGAAACAATCCACATCCCCACTGGGCCCAGCCAGCCTTCCCACTTTCTTTTAGTCTCGGTGCTGCACCATACAGAGAAATGTTGCTGTGTGGTCCAGAAAGAAATATACCTACACTTAGTTTTACTCACACTTGTATCTCAGCAGAGGATCCTCAACAGCAGTTTCTAAGTAACAAGGTTTCCAGTCCTAACAGTAAGGGTGTTTTGCAGAAAAAAAAAAAAAAAAAAAAATCAGAAGAGAGTCTGAACAACAAGTAAGGCAGATGCTAACGTCAGGAACCCACCAAACCACAGCCCCCATTACATACAACAGGCACTCACACAGCAGTGTTAAGTTGCTGACAGTAAGAGCTTTAATAAAGAAATGACAAATGTGATACGTCATCAACAGTATGGTATATTTTAATCAACTGTGAATAATAGTTCATATTCTATTCTGACAGAGTAAACTTTGCACTTTTTTTTAATTCAGTTTCACACATACAAGACTGCTGGTGTTATCCTCTACCCATGTGCCACTAACCAAGCTAAAACAGTCAACATCACACCAGTAAAAACCCATAAGTCTCAACATTTATATAATAAAGCTAAATAAAAAACAGCAAAAAAAAAAATTCCCAGTAGAAATATTATACACTAGCTCTCCGTGACAGAAATAAAGACAGTGATATCATATCATCTCCATGTTAGACAGGGTGGAGGTGCACCTTATAGACTAACTGAATCAGACATACTATCTACATCTGATGAAGTGAGCTGCTGCTCGTGAAAGTTTGTGCAGCTGATTCAGTTAGCCAATAAAGTGCACTTCTATCCTGCCTTCTGATTAACATGGCTAATTACACCCCTCTCCATGTTAAAGATTTAGGTTTAAAAGGATCTTGCTGGGTATTTAAAACTAAATCCATTTAGGATTTACATTCAGAATATATTTTATTAATCCTTCAGATGTAAAAACTGATTAGTTATTTTTCACTGACCTCTTAAAACATTTCCCTTAATATGGATTAGAGCTTCCTGGAGATGCTTTTAGTTGACTGCTCTGGGTAGCTTCCCACCTGATGAATATTCTTAAAAATTGAGGTGGTTACAGTCTCTGTCATAAAAAAAGAGGACTGAGATAACAAAAAGTATGTTGTAAATAACCATCTTATAAGGCTATGCTAAACTTTATTATTAAGTTTTGGTTCTGGATCTTAACTGCATTAAAAGGGGATCATCATTTTACCCAACAACTTTGACTTTTTTTGTTTTATGTACCATGTTGAACATGGAGCCTTGAAATAACTTCAAATATACTAGTGGCTTTATCTCAAGATAAACTCTGTTTTTTTTAAAGCTTAATAATAAGACATGAAATTAAATTAAACAGACTAACAGATTCTAGTGTTTAAGTTACAGGCTGCCTTACAAAGCTTAGCTAAATTGATTCTGCTAGGTTTACTTTTAGTGAAGGAAAAAACCTGAAACTTTCCAACATTTTACAGGTAGGGAATTCCTCACAGGCTTTAACTTCTCAGCCACCACATTGTTTTGGGGATTTTTTGGCTTTCATAAGAACTCCTCCTAATAAGGGATTACACACACACGCATACACACGCACACACACATGCGCGCACATTTCAGAAACTAATAGCAAAATGGCAAACAGCACCCAGGAATGCTGGTGGTGGCATTTGTTGAACCTCCTGATCATTTACGACTATGTAGAGATGTGATGTAGCCCAGTAAACAATCATTGCACACAAAATGGTTTTACTTTAAAATTGCTGTTAGATTCTGAAACACCCTTGCATACAGTTTTTAAACAGACAGGCCATTTACCTTCATTACCAAAGGAATGATGCTATTTTGAAATAAATTTTCCTTTGATCCAGTTTCAAAATTACTGTTTGACATGGTCAGAAGCAAAATAAACAACTACCAGTGTATTTAGTTTTAAAAGCATTTAATGACATAGCATATATTTAACAGATAGGGTAAAAGTCTAGAGGTACAGTTCCATACAACTGAAAGCCAGTTCCAGTACTACTCTGACTACAGGCCCAGTCACTGAGAGTTCATTCCTATTAAATGTAGTTTCTGATTGTGCAGTAAGATGAAAATTTTTCATTACAATAGTTACAGTGACAGAGAATGCACACTATGTATCAAATAGCAAGGTAATGTAGCAAAATTATAACACACAGTGCTGTAGCTGACAAGCAAGTAACCATTTGAGTAACATTACTTTTTTTTTCCAGTAAATGCTTCAGTTCCACTTTTACACTTATCAATGATTTTTAAAGGGTTTATTATACATCTAGTCTTATTATACTTTGTACTAGAATTATCTGAAACATACAATATAATGTATTTCAGCAAAAAAATTCGAAATTACAGATTATTTAAAACTGTATCAGTATGCTAATCCTTCTTGTACACCAACATTCTTAACTGTCGTACTGGATGCAGAAAAGCTTCAGGTTGTGTTAATAACTGATGCCAGGATACAAATGGTTTGTCCGTAAGTTAATGCATACCTGCACTCTGTTACAGCAAAGATAATACACTATCATTTTAATAAAGGTTAGAACTGTAATGGGAGGCTCTACTAGTCAAGACTCAGCATAACAACCTTAAATGGAAGTGAACACGTTTGAAAATTTGTACAGTTGTCTTCAATGTGCACAGGAAATTTGTAAGCACCGCTGCCTTGCATACCAATATCACTAGATGTGGGTTATTTTTCAAGACAGCCTCACAAAATTGAGGAACAGTTTAAATATTAAGATCTAATCTACATTAACTTCATTAAAAAAAACAAAATCTGGTCCTCCCTCTCGTACAGAAGCTGCCCAATGCACCTCAAACATTTGTAACTTTAGATTCTTTTTTTTTTTGTTGGCTTTTTTAAATGCTCTATAAATAAAAAAATTTAAATCACATTGAGGAACATTAGGCACAGATAGTAATGTATTGGTTCTGAGCTTGCATGCTGGAATTCCACTGGAAAGGTCAGAGAAGTGCAGGGTGTGTGTGGAGATGGAGTTCACTTCTTTTTACCAAAAAGGCTGAATCTCTTCTCTTTGTCTTTTTCTTTGTCCTTCTCCCGCTTGCCAGGACTGGATTCGCTGGTTATTGTAACGCTGGCTGGCAGGGTTTGGGCACGACTAGAAGCTGGAGTGCTTTGTGTGCTTGGAGACACTTCAATTTTGTCAGAGGAGATAGCTGATGTGATCGCCTGAATCCATGTGTTCATTTCCTCCTTCCACAAACAAAGTTACATTGCAGTTAAAATCAATGCATCAGACTTTTCCATCATTCCCTCAGCAAGGCACCTGATACAGAAGTAGGAAGTTAAAGAGAAATTGGCCCCGTCATCCTCCTAAAGTATGCGTGTGTCCTGCACCTACACTTTGCAGGTGTGGATTAACTACTGCATAAGATGCAAATATTACAATGTGCACCTTAGAAGCCCCTCTTTCCTAACCCTATGGGTTTTTCAGGAGCAAACTGTAATGCTAGTAGACCTATAAGTATAGGGACATGCACATATATTGGAGACTAGGATTTTACCCAAGATTTTTCTTTTCCTTATCACGCAATGGTAGAATAGTGACATGCACAATATAAAACAAGGGAGAAAAAGGAGGGCGAAAAGAACTTACATCATCTTTGGCTTGGAAGAGGTACTCATTGCCATCACTTAGTCTGCAATTAAAAACAAACAACCATCACATATCTTATCTGTGTACCACACACAAGACCAAATTCTGCTCATTTGACCCAAGTAACTGCACTGAACCAAAATGGAGAGCAGTACATTTCATCATCCTGTTTTTTCCCTTGCCTGTTACTGCCTTGCTTCCATTCTGCCCATAAGCCATGGGCCTGGGGACTATGATCAACAGTCTAAATCTCTAAAACAGGCCATTTAAAAATCAAACCAACTTGCCCCCTAAGTACAGGCTGGGCAACATTCAGTCCTATGCCAGTGGCAGGTATAATGTCTACTATCTCATTAGGGTTACCACTGGCAGCTTTATGTCACTAGACATGGAAGATTCCACATTTTACACCATGACAGCTTTTATATCAGGCTCTGGAGAAGTTGCATCGTTTTTGGTTTGGCAAGTCCTGAGAAAATGAACTTTAAAGGCTCTGTTATAGCTTATCTAGAAAACCTACAGAAGGTACACTTTAAATGTTTAAACATGTAATACTTAAATTTATCTGAGAGTCTCTACAGAATTTAATATGTTCCAAAATAAAAGATAAATGTGTAGTTTATGCAGATTATATGAAGCTGTGTTGTGATACAAAAGCTCTACTGAAACTTAGAAAAATACTGAATTGAAAGGATAAAGATGTGGATCTCAGACAATTCTCTCACTTTCACCTGGGTGTAAATTGTCCACTTATCTAATGCAAACATCAATGGGTCTTCAGGTTTTCATACCAGGTAAAGATCTGAGACTCTACAGGTAACGTGTGTGTTGGGGGGGAGGGTGGTGTGGGGGAAAGGGGAGGGTATGGGTGTGTGCGCACATGCCCGCGTACACATACACACTACATAGACAGCAACCTACAAGCATATGTATGCTTGCTAATTTGTAACTTTTTAAGGAGTAAGAGCTCAGAGACTTTTAAAAATTGTGACTTCAACTGTGAAACCAGCTTGGAAGCTCACTAACTACTTTAAAAGACCAAAATCTTAAAAAAATAAAGGAAACCCAAGAAACGCATGGTTTCACAGCTTCCGCAGCTATCTGCAAGATTCTGAAACCTATCTCAAGGGAGTGGGACATTTTACAGGCAATGACACATCCAGCGTGCTTGAAATTGTTTATTAGTAGCTTTCTTCCACCTGGAGATTGTGGGTCTGGCTCTCTACTATATTGCTTCCATTTTCCCTTGGTGTACTTCTACTAATTTTATGCTGAAGACTTTTACCTAGGACACATTTGGTAACTTAATCTAAAGTTGTATGATAAACATTAGCCACTAGAGAGAGGAGTGAGTGACAGCGACAAAACCCACTGGACAAGCTAGGTGGCAGAACCAGTAAGTTACACAAGGCTGGAATTCCCCCTCTATCCTTTCAAATCCCAGAAATGAAATTAGTTCCAGCATGTGTACCCCTTTATATTTTTCTCCTGTTTAAGGGGCTGGGGGGCCTCTGTGGTGAGGGAGGGAGTGGGGCTGGGGCAGGCAATGCCTAGTGAGGGTGGAGTGAAGGACAGAACTGCAAGAGCTCCTGCCGCTGCATGCACCCCAGCAGTGGCCAGGGGGGCACATGCCCCCCAGATCTGTGCGTGGGGTGGAGGCAGCTGCTACTGCAGGCTGGACTCTGCATCCCGCTGCCCCAAAAGCCATGCAATGCAATGTGCCTGCTGCCACCAGGCGGGCAGGGGACAGACACATGCACACAAAGACACAGACAAAGCACTTGCAGACACACACAGATGCAGACACAGACACACCTCCCCCCAGCAGGTAAGTGTGTGTGTGGGGAAGGGGTGGGGCAGGGAGAGGGAAGAGGCTGGGGGGGCGAAGGGGGGGAGGGGAGAAAGTGGGGAGAATGAATCTCTGTGCCCACTCCCAGGAGCAGGGCCAGGAGGGCGAGGGCAGTGGTGCCCCTCTGCGGGGCCTTGCAAACCACTTTTCCTGCTGTCCCATCTGTAAAAGGAAGATAACAATTCAAACCATCTCTGTAAGCCACTGTGAGACCTACAGATGAAAAGCATGACCTGTGGGATGTTTATGCAAGTGGTATGATAATCTAATGGGCAATAAGGTGGACACCTGTTGGCAATACAGTTATGACTTCATCGCTTCTTTAAAAGGCCTCGGCCCCTGGCACACATTCAAATAATGGCATAATAGGATCAGATTGCTGCTCCCAGCAATTGTGCCTCCTGCCATGCCACATATGCATGGCAGGATGTTCAATTTTGGGATCAGATGCCAACTGCACTATTACTACCTGCCAGTGCAGGGGGACCCCAAAATCATGATCCTGGGCTCCCTTTGCATGGACAAACTGAAAGTTGGGTGAGGGCAGCCCAGGGTGAACCAGTGCAGTGTCAGAACTAAGACTAATTATGGGGTGATTGTGGGCTCCAGCCCCAAGACCACACCAGAGCCAGTCTGAGACTCTACTGCACTCTCAACCTTGAGACCAGACTCCAATGTGGCCCCAGGCCTGGAACCAACAATCAGCTGATTGTTAGTCTAAGCCCCAGGATCACATGTAAGGATGTCAGAAAAAACACATGGCCAGCTGGTTTTTAAGGTCTCAGCGAGCAGGGACCCCAAGAGCAGAAAGTCTTCCCAGTCCCATGCCCCCCTGGAGCTGCAGGGCAAGGCAGCCAATCTGCTGGGTGGTAGGGAGCCCTGTGGCCCCCTACAACTCAGGATGGTGCTTACCCTGCCCTGAAGCTTTGGTGGGGGCTGAGAGGCAAGGCAAGCACCATTCTGGGTCATGGGAAGTCCTGAGGCTCCCTGAATCCTAACCCAGTTGATGAACTCCACTTGACTAGGTACCCTGGAAACCCATGAAGGGATAGGCCATTTGGCTGTCAGCTTGGTGACACAGGGGGAGCTGTCAATCAAGCCCCACAGTGCAGCCAGCATCAAGCTGCAGGGTGGGGCTACCCTACAACATGTTTAATTTAAGGCATGATGGAAACCAGGAACAAAAAAATGTAGCAAACATTTTGGGAAATATTTTTGTGACTGGTTTCCTATTTTGTCCTACCATTAATTGCCTGGACTTATTACTACTTATGGCACGGTTAACACATTCATCTCATCCTAAGTGTAACTTTTTGCCAGGGGCCTAAAAAGAATTTTTCCACCTCCTTGTCAGAGGTCCTGCACCGTGGTGGTAATTGCTGGATCTCCTCCAATTTCAAAGTTTTGGGCCCTCTGTGAATGATTTATTTATTTATTTTTTTACTTTAGAGAGATGCTGTTTGTCATGCTGAGTTGGCTCTCCCTTTGGCACTGGCAGAAGCTACGTAACACTACAACTTTTAACTAGACCTGGAAAATGAATAAGGCCCAAGACTTTGTGCACCCTTTGTTAAAAGTCTTGGTCAAAATGTAAACATTATGCACTGAGTTTTTAAAATCCTGTCTTCTGGCAGTAGAGTTTCAAAAACAATCTTGTTTCAGTGCTTGTATACAGCCCAAATACTTAACCAGTCAAAGGCCCCAACCTTGCAAAGGAATTTGCCTGTGGAGACCTGTGTCCCCACTGTTTCAGGAGGGATTGCCTGCATGGAACCAATTACATGATCAGGGCTGAACACTGAAAAAAAAACAAGTATCCACTCTAGAAATCTAGTTGACAGAAAAGGTAAAAGAATTAAGAGAGCTGAAGCCACTACTCTTTGTTAAACTGAGGAAAGTTGGACAAACAAGTAAGACACACAGATATAAATCGAGGTGGAGAAGAACGTGGTGCTCAGACTGTATGTTAACAGGCTACAGTTCTAACTCACTACTGAATCACTGTGGCTACATGCAATTACGATGTGTATTTACCACCGTGTACCAGATTTTCACAGGGAAAATTAGCTTAACTTCACTGGAGACAACGAAGCTCCTTTGTTTTACACCAGCTGAGCATCTAACATTCTCTCCTTGATGGCTTATGGCTTAAGTCAGCACAGTACGTACTCAGTGTGCACCCACCTTTAAGCAGGCAAGCATTGATGTTCATGCAAAAGGAAATGGGACCCTATCTTTGGAGAACTGGGGCCAATGGAAAGAAACAGTGTGCACTTCATACAGGTTTGTTTAACTTCAGTAAAATGGATGCCAGTTATTCAGTGCTGGGCAGCATCTGTTCCCCTTACTGACACTTTAATCAATGCTCACAATGAGCACGAGGGGAGGGGACAGAATCTAATCCAAAATAAACAACAGAAACTAGGGGTACACCGATAGAGATTTTTTGAGCTGATACCGATGGCCGATTTTTAAGGAGGCATACTGGCTGATACTGATCTGATTTCCGATACAAAGCCCAGCAGCTTGAAGAGCAGTGCCCGGCTGGCAAGTCTGTTATGGCGGAAGGGGCAGGGAAAGGGAAAGGGTGTGGGGAGGCAGATCAAGGGGGCACGTGGAGTGGGAGTGGCTCCCGCTGCTGTGTGCATCCTGGGATGGTATGGGGGGCATGTGCCCCCGGATCTGGGCAGGGCAGAGCAAGCTGTCTCTGCGGGCTGGGGCTGGGGCCAGGACTGCAGCGGGCTCTTCCTGGTGGGGGCTGGGCCAGGCTGCACTAGGGGTAGGCAGCAGCGGTGGTGGGGTGAGGCTACAGTAACCCAAAATTTGCCGTAGCCCTCCTCCCCAATCCATCCTTCCCATCCCACCCCGAGTGCAGCCCCCACTAAGAGCCTGGCCCGTGCCCCACATGCCCTCCTGGGGTGCACGCAGTGGTGGGAGCGCACCTCCCCCCCCGCAGCTCCATCCTATGCTCTGCCCTGCCCTGGCACTGCCCCTGCCACAGCACCAGCCCCACTCCCTTCCTCATTGTGGGAGCCTCGATCTGTCCCTGCCACATCCCTTCTTTCCCCAGTCCCCTCCCCTTTCACCACAACAGACTTACCAGCTATACGCATCTCTCCAAGCTAATGGGCTCTGCTCCTCATTGTCTACCTGCTGTGCTGCAGCTGCATGCATGCACGGGGCACTTATCGGCCAAATAATTGGCAACATCAGGCAAAAAAGCTGATTTCCGATACATTCAATTTTCTTTATATCGGTGCTGATATGATATCAGACCAACGTATCAGTGCACCTCTAACAGAAAGCCAATTTAATCTTCTCTGACTACTCTGAAACAAGCAAATCTCATAATACACATTGCAAGATGCAACACCCAGGCCAAAGCCAGAGCTTGGGGGAAGCATGCCCTCATATTCCTTTACAGGAGTTGAGCACAGTCAGGATTGTTCATATTGCTACTTAGTCCTGAATTTGGGCCACTTAAGACTGTAGCCCAAACCTGCTGAACACCCACATATTGAACCTCATTGCTCATTCCCTGGCACAGTCCACGCTATACTCACAGTGTCAGGGGTGAAAGTCAAGCTTCTCCCTATCTGACCCGCTGCCTGCAGTGTGATCAATACTCACCCCAGCAAATGTCACATACACAGGGAGTCTGTGAAACCCTTCTGTACCCTACACCTCCTGTCTCACTGCCCTTAGTTAGAAGCAAACACAAAAGGAGAGACAGAGGGCAGACTGATTCCTAGAAGGGCTCAGTTTCCTGTTTCTCAAGCATAGGTCGTCTTGGTATCAGCCTGCTCACTATTTTGTCTCTTTCTGATCTTCAGGTACAACTGCTTCAAGTTAATACAAATGGCTCACATGGACTGGACTCTCTAAGGGTGATCTTAGTGGGTTGCCCCTAAACAGCACTGTAGACACATCCTATAGTACCTAGTAGGATGTAGTGCTGTGTCAGGGACAGACTACATTCCATAAAAGCTATTTACCAACAGAAAGATGCTCCAACAACTTTACCTTAGCTTGAACACGTGTTTCTTCTTTTTGTAATCAACTGCTACTTCACAGACTGCTTCTTTCAAACTGACAGGGATTTCATTGTGGTAAGGAATGCCAGAAGCAGCAGCCTTGGAATCTTTGTAGAAGCCCATCTCTTGGTTGTTTATAACACAGTACACATTATGCCAGGATCTTCAAGAAAGAGAAAGTAATCAAGACAAGTGCAAGTCTAATTCTCTTCACTAGATCATAAATCTGCCTGAAAGAAGTTCAATTATCTGAGTCTACAATTATACCTTTAACTTAATTATATCTATTTATATTATCTTACAATTATAAAGTGACACACATTCAGTTTGAGATGGTAGATAAAGCATACTGCCTTGGTGATAAGAGGTCACATGCATTTTCACATGAAAGCTCTATTCCATTACAAGACTGCTGATATTGTGCCAAATGGACCTGAGATTTGTAGGGCTCTTAGTGATATCACACTAGCATACAGTGAGAGTACTGTTTGAAAGACTGAAGAGTTTACATACTTGAAAGGGAAACTAGTTGACCTTTTAAATGAGTACACACTCTTAGAAGGATTTTTTCTAGCGCTATAAAATTTGTAGAGGGACTGTATATAAAATTCTTGACTCCTATGCACAAAGTAGCTATTAGATTATTTTTTTTAATGATGTGGCAATGAAGAAAGAGTAGAAACAAGGCTACCTGAATATTACCCAACACCTAACCATCTTCATGAAGTTTTACAGGCTGACAAGTTACTGTGGATTTTCTCAGATAACCTTTTCTCCAAGAATAGCATAACACAAAAATAGCTGTCCTATGTGAAGTGGGCCTCTGTTTGAGAAACTGGTGTTGCCCCCACCCGCGCCCCCAAACAGCCACTATATTGTAATTCTAATCTCTCTCCCTTGGCTACTATCCAATTTTCCATATTAAACTTTTCACTCTCAACTTCCATCAATACTTTCCAGTAAAGTTATAGCCTGGGCTTCCCCAGTACTTCCCTCAGTGATCACTCAGCATCTGTTTTTACTGCCACATGCCAACAAGTAAGAGCTTTGCTCTGTGGGGAATGCAGGGCCAGGCCCTTAGAATCAATGAGGATGGACATAATCATTTTCACCAGTAGTTCTGTTCCGAGGAGATTACAGGATAGGTGGAAGGGGCCAGCATGTACATAGCTACAATCCTGGAAGCTCTGAAGAATACTCTGATGCCTTTTTCTTTTCCTGTGGACTTCTAGCTGTGATATTACACCAGGATTTGAGAGGTCCAAAATCAAGTCCCAGCTCTGCTACAGTTTTTTTGTGTGAAGTTAGGCAAGTTGTTTCATTTCCTGGTTCTTGTGTTGTCTGTCCTTAAAATGAGGGATAACAACATTTTTCTTCCACCTTTGTCTGTCTTGTCTATTTACACTGTCAGCTCTTCAGGAGAGGCAACTCTCTTTTACCTTGTGTTTATACCAGTGGTGACCAACCTTTCTGGCAGGTGTGCCACAAGTTCAGCCATGGTTCTTCCCCCAGTGCTACTCTCATCTCTACCCCCAAAGACATATCTAATATATGTCCTGAGACACTGGCATGGAGGATCAGAGCAGAGACAAAATGCTGCTGGGAGTGAGGTATCACCACAATCACTGCAGATTTATATGGTGAGTGAGGATCCAAAGACCTGAATCTGGTGAGGCTGCATGACCAGAGAAGGATTAACCTGGCTCTTGGTGGTAGCACCTGACACCTCCTCTCACAGCAGCATGGTGCTCCCACTGTGCTCCTCAAAGCCAGAGGCTCAAGACTCCCGCTGGCTCCATCCTGGTGTTTCTATTTACTGCATGCTCAGGGTTTGTATGCCACAGAACAGTAGCTGCCTTTTCACTTGTGACATGCATGCCGTGGGTTGGCCACCCTAGAACAATGGTGCCTCTGGGTTTGGCTGAGGCCTCTAGTAGCTGCTGTAATACAAACAACAATGAGATCTACATGCTGGATAACAAATGGTTAAGGGTCACATCAACTAAAATGTCTAAGTGTTTGCAGTTGTTCTGAGGAGGCCATTATGATAAGCTGAACAGGGCTCCCAGAATGTTTGGATGTTTGCAGCAAAAAATAAAGCTAAATTCTAGGTTTCCTTGTTTTATTGGGAGACCTATTTAACCCCTAAGAGAGGTCTATCTGATCTGAAAAATATAGATTAGCAGGAGAATGTTACTAAAACTGTACAGGAATGCAGCATTCCCAAGATAAGAAGCTATTGATTTGTTTAAGGAGTAAACAGTTTACAAAATGTTGGACAGTTTACACAGAGCGGTATTTTGTAAACTACAGTGGGTCCTGATTGAGATATAGAGTAGAGATATATATGTAAGCAGTGGGGAAATAGCTGAAGCAACACAGGACCTCCTAAGATGAAGCAAATGGATATTGTGTGGGACCCCAGAGAAGAGACAAAGGAATAACTACAACAGCCTAAAACAAGGTAAGTAACTTATCATGACTTGGTTCTTCTCTATCTGATAACTATTTAACTGTGACTGTTTAAAAAAAAAACAAAACCAAAAAACTGTGATGGTATATTTTACTAAAATTTTATTAAAGATAGCTGCTTCAATTAAGAAAGCTTTCAAATTGGGCTTTATAGTATATCCTTCACCTAACACAGCTTTTATTAAGATGCAAAACTTTTATTTGAATTAAACACTAGTTACTTTACCTGCTTGAGGCTTTCTTGCTGTGTGTCTCCCATTCATGTTTACGGTGCAAGAAGCCCTCCATCTGAGCAGATGGGGTCTCCTGTGTTTTGGCTGGAAGGGTAGCAGCGGTCTGAGCCTGAAAGGCAGTCTTGGCTTTGCGGTCTGTTGTTGGGGAAGGAACAGGACTAGATTCTTTTGAACTTGTTCTCTGCTCTGCAGCTCCATTGACCATTTCATTTGTCTCTACTGTTTCTGCCATCTAGGAACAGTGAAGAAAACCAGTCAGTGAATAGCCTCACAAAGTTACACCCTCTTGCAGTTAATTTGCTCTCTTGCACAATGTGGCTGTGTATAAACTTTATCTATACAGTGAGACAGTCCAGTAAAATCATTCTCACACTTCATGGAGACACAGTAGGCCAAGGAAATTAGAAGGTATGAATTGATTAGTACCCATTTTATAGGTGAAGAAATAGGAAAATAAGAGTAACTAAACATCAGTGTGAGTTTTACTGCACTTTGCTCAGCTAGTCAATCTCTGTTTTTTTATATATTGTCCCTCCTAAAATGAGAGGTTTGATACCATTGCTAAGTGCTCAAAGACTTGCAACAGTAACAATCACACTTCTGTAAACATAAGAGAAAACAAGAAGTTATACACATCAGCCACCTTACATACATTTTAACATTAATGTTGTAAGTTTAAAATAAAATAACTAGAAACATACATTCAACAGAAAGTATCTTCTGTACTATTCAGGAGCATTCACAAAAACGCTATGTTGTGATATTTTGTACAACTGATTGGTTTCTGTAAATGCTCTTTAGCCCCACCCCCACCCCCACCCTCCCAGGTGACACAACATAATCAAAACATGCAGAAATTAGGAAGATTACACCATGCATTTAATGTCCACGATCCCAGTTAGGATTTGGATCTTAAAGACGGGGAAAATGAGAGAAGTCAAACATCAATTGATAGAGTTTGTTTCAGACTCTCTTATTAGGTAAATTGGATTTATGTTAAAGGAACTGGAAACCACCACAGTCACTCAACATCACACAGCTATTTACCCCCAAACAAAGACAGAACCAAGGCCTTGCCCATCACTCGCTTTGTTGATCGCGTTGCCTGCTGCACTGTGATCGAGATAGCCTAGACAGCAGCCAACTTTCCAGCAGCTCTGACTGGTCAAGCTGTCGACGTCTTCAGGAGCCATTCGTCCAAAACTCATTTTAAATTGGAATCCTAATGGCTATGTGCTTTTGAAATGCAGCTTGATCCCAGGTTTATTTTTCCCTGCACCATTACTTAGACGCGTAGAGCCATTGGTAGCAGCCCAGGAGTTACACAACCAGTGTGTAGCATTATTATTAGCGAGTTACTAAAGCTCAGTGCTGCTAATGCTCTAGTAGATTACAAACAGTCTGTACCATTTTTATGCAGACAAGCAGGTATTGGTAAATGGCACAATAATTAGACACTCCTACTGCCGCATAGGTCTGAACAATTCAAAAGCAGCAGAATTATTGTGTGACAGATTCTAAATTTGCTACCATTTTCATGAACTTATCAACTGTGAAATATTTCATCTTGCACCTTTGTACTTTAAATACAGAGCCCTAGAAAAAGCTAAGTGTAAACTTGTTATGCATATGGGAAGGGTTGGTTAACTGCCTTTAAACAAACTAAATCTTGAGTACAGACACTACACCACTGAAACAGGGAAAGAATCACAACTGATTTCAGGCATATTCAATCTATAGAAATCTATAGCTAGAGACATACAATCCTGTAGCCTGATTTTTTGGAAAGAAGTGCCACTTGAGAATATCCACTTTTAGACTATGCTTCTATTTCCCATCAGTATTTTTTTTAACATTAGCAAAATTGCCTCCAGCACTTATTCTGAAAACTGTATGAAATATACACTATTGGTGACTACCACTTTTAAACAAGTATAAAAATAAAACAAAATATGTTGCAGAAGAAAAAGATCCTAACACTATCCTCTTTGGTTACCAAGATACAGATGGAAAGCAAATCAAGCCAACAATCTGTTCATGTCTAATAAAAGAAAAAGGCTATTTCACTAGTGACATCTTAATCACTGAACTTCAAAAAAAATCTTATTTTTAAGAGACAGATTTGTTGTATACTGGGATTTTATGACATTTTGGGGAATAATTATTATAAATCATGGGACTTGTGTATAGTCTATATATAATTGCAGATAACAGTAAATTAAATACTTGCATATCCTTGTACGGTATAACACTATGAAATTAACTATAAGCTAACTTCAGCATTTGCAGAATTTATCATATATTCTGTAGTAAGTACAGGGAGGATACAAGAATTTCACAGATATAGAGGGACCCTTATCTATTCATCTTAGATAAAGCAGGCAATTTTTCAGTAAAGCCACTGCAAGTCTAGTTAGAATGATTTTACGGGAGAGAAATAACTCAGTGATGCAGTATGCAATCCTGTGGTTTTCAATGCTAACTATCAGTTTTAATTACACAACAAGAACCATCTATTTCCACTCAGAATTTAGCTACTGATTTTAATTACTGAACTGAAATTTAAAAAAGCAAAACACATATGGCAAACTAAAACAACTACAGTTAGGCTAGGCTATGAAAGCTTTTCAGATGCTCTTCACTGGGATTGTTTTTCTTTCCTATATTCTCCAAAATTAACAAAGAGTGAGCAAAATAAATTACACATGAACCACAAACATTTATGCAAAGAATGTGCCATGAAAATAGAAAAAAATAATGGGAGCTAAATAAACTTTAATGGAAACATGCTTCAAGCATGCAGAGACAACACAACACAGGACAAACATTAATAGCAAACTGCACTGGTTACAACAATGTAACAGTTAGCACGCACAAATACATTTTTCTTCAGGGTGAATGTTTATGGGAAGTTAGTTGCAACTACTTTAGAGGCTAGCTTCTATTTTTGAGGGATTTAAATGATTTCTGTGACATGCAACAAGACAGCTGGTGATATGACTAGAAACACCTCTTTGATTTTCACAGTGCATGAAGCAACATCATACTGAGTTCATCATCTCGAGTCTGCACTGCAGCTCAGTGACTAGAGACATATGTGCCTTTTTCAAATGCTACTAAATTACAGTTTATAAACTATTCTGGTAGAGAAAGTTTACAGATTTTAAGAAAAAAATGTAGGCCATAATTAATAGGCGAAAATCTTTTACTCCTCCCTTTTACTCCTCCCTTATAATTTTATTCATTTGCCTTGCATTCGATTCTAGGAATAAAAAAATGGAACCGGTTTGTTTATATGTACCCGTTCTTAACCAGAATATACTTGAAGGCTCTACCACCTGCTAAATGTGAAGCAATAGTGCTATTTTATATGGACTCTAATACTCTTAAAGGCACAAGAGACCCAACGCTTGTGTAGGGTAACCACGAGAACATTTGTTTATCTTTTAAAGTAATTTAAATAAAGCATTAAGAAGCTATATGCTGTTATCCTGACAAAAGAAAAAAATAAAGAAGACATGCATCATGAAATGGAAAGACAAGTTATAGCAAAAGTACAATTACTGGAGAACTTCCTATCTAGCTGTCTTCCTGACTTTACAAACTCAGCCAAAAAAGTTGCACTGCTCAGATAACTGACAGCAGCAGATACCAACTTTTAGTCACAAACAGCAAAACTGGCATACATTTGCTTTATCACAACACAAGGTTCATGAAATTGTGGGCTAAAAAGCTCTCCTTAACAGGTCTACTTGCAGGGAGTGAAAACTAACATGAAGATGCATTATATAGAGATAACAAGTAATAAAAACAACACTGAAACAAAAGATGAAGAAGGTTATAGTAAGCCCTGGAAGGCAGGTTCTTTGCAGAAGTTTTGTCATGTCACTGCAGGCCCTCTAAAATCCTTGCCACTTTTAATCACAGCATCACTTTATGCAGCTCTGGCTTTTAAAACCATCTGATTATTTTGTCATTCCAACAGAAAGGTGAATTGATGTGCTTTATTTAAATAGGGAGGAAGAACACAGAAAAACTGCTTGACATCTCAGAGCATTAAAAGAATATGCATGACCACGCAAAAGAACGGACAGGCATTTTAAAGGTAAAATGCTAAAAGCCATTTCCTGCCACAGCCTGAGCCCAGGGCTCTGCATTCTGCTGCTAACTTAATTACAAACTTTGGGCATTTTTATATGTGCTCCGGGACACTCTAAAGTGCCCACTTGTCACGTGCATCAGAGCAACCACGCTTCACCGCGCTGAAAAAATGGCAGTGGGGTGCTTTGAACTAAAGCTCATTTAACGTGTTTTATTTCAAAGTGCCCGGCCTCCACTTTTTCAGCATGGGGATGCACAGGGATGCTGATATGTGACGCGGAAAGCTGCTGGAGCACGTCGATTTCCATGCTTCAGAAGACTCAATTAATCGAGTCAGTTCCAACACGCTGGCTTTTCAGTGTGTTGGAGCAAGCTCCCCGCACGTCTATAGCAGCTGCTAATGCTCATGGGCCTGAACCTGTCAGGTGCCTTTTCTTCTCAATTCCTTAAAGTGGCTCTTGGCCCTCAGGCTCAGGCCCATAACTGGGAGTAGCAACATTCTTTGCCCTGCTCTGTGTGGTGGTGGAATCAGTCTTCCAGAAGAAACAGACCCCTGACTTGAGACCTCTGCCAAAAGGTATCCAAGAGGTAAACAGATTTTCAAGCATTTTGTTGTTAAAAATAGATGTATTTACTGACAATTTTTAAAGGCTGCACATAGGAAGCTAAATCTTACTGCACTTATTCACATGTATTCTTGTTGACTTTGTTGGGACATTGCTTGGTGGCAACAAATACTCATGTAAATAAGACAAGAATGTTTCAAGCCTCATCTAACCAAACATTTGGGATCTTATGCAGACATCTCATTTGTTTTTTTTTGTTTTGTTTTGTTTTTTTAAAGGAAAGTACTGCAGTTCCACTCATGGGCCAATATCTGTTCACAGTGACTCTTGCAAATCCAGTGTGCCTTCATTTCAGGTAGTGAAGTTACTCTAGTGTGAACTGGGAAGAAATGAGGGCAAAACTAACATTTATGCAGGAAGATCAAAACTTCATATACAGATTAAATGCCAAGATAAATCCAGTTCTATTTCTCTCTTTATTTTTATCTTCAGCCATTGCATTCATTCTGCATGGAATGTTATACAACTAAACTTTAGGCTTTTATTTTTGGTAGTTATAATTCTCCCCTCCCCCATGGCCTTCTGATTGCAAAGCCGACTTGCATATATTATCTTCAGCTTGTAAATAACTCACTTGCTAATGCAGCTGATTTAATAATGTTGCCGTGCTGAAACCTGTTAGTATAACTGGATGCGTCATACCTGTCAGTTTATAGTTCTCTTCTTCATTATGATGTAATCTCATTACATCTCAATTACTCATATAAAGGATGGTTTAGCTGTAAAATCTTAATGCTATTAATGACATGAAAAACTCACAGTAAATAACATGAAATAAATGTGTCACTTTAAAGCAGCTGAGTGTCAGTGAAGAGGTTCAAAGAAGAAAGGATTAGAGTGAAGCAATATATATATCCAAAGTGCTACTGATTAAATAAAAGTCACTGGCTGGGGAAAGAGAAAAGCAGAAAGGGGCTTTTGAAGCCAAAGATTTAAACTAATACTGAACAAAGGTGGGTTTTGTTGCAAATGGTTTGGTATGTCACAGTCCAGACCTAGGCCGGTCATTGGCTGTCCATCTGCTATTAAAGTTTTTGTAGTTTTGGTAGGTTTGGGAGCGGTAACTAACCCGTGGAGACTCCTGGTCTGACGGCAAACCGTTCTGGGAAATTTGTTCTCCTTTTGTGCCATCCCTGTTGAAGACAGAAACAAGACTGTATGAAGTGGAGCAAGCTGTTCTTCCCTGTTAAAAAAGTCTTCATACCAAATGTTGGGCATCATGGCAATATAAAGCAAGTTGTTGCATAAAGGTTGAGATCTCCCTCTAACCTACACCAGCCATTTTTAATGTAAGCAGGAGCAAAAAGACCCCAGGGTGTCAAAATACTGTAACTGAGGGAAGAAGCAGGCCCAGTGCCTCTCTCACCACAGTAACCTAAGAATTTTTTTGCCCATTTTATTTTCCAGGTGCGGCTTAAATTGTAACTGTAGGTCCATTATAAGGTTTCTTTATAAAGTATCACAAGTCTCAAAAGTTAATGCACATGTCTCTTGATAGGAACAAAACCAACAATTTGAATTTGACCTGATCTAAAGCCCATTTAGTTCAATGGGAATCTCTTCATTTATTCAGTGATCTTTAGACTTTGGCATCAGTGTGCTAGTCTAAACAGGTTAGCCAAAACTAGAGGTGCACCGATAAAGATTTTTTGGGCCAATACCAATGGCCAATTATTAACCAACCATATCAGTCAATACAGATCCGATTCCATATATGTAGCCAGGCATTCTGGAGAGCAGCGTCCAGCTGGTAAGTCTGATGGGGGGAAGTGATGGGAGAGAGGGCAGATCGAGGCCTCCTGTGGTGAGGGAGGGAGTGGGGCTGGGGCATAGGCAGGCAGTGCCCAGCCAGGGTTGGGTGGTATGTGGGACAGAGCTGCAGGAGGCTCGTCCAGGGGGTGCTGGGGAAGGGGGGGGGGATGGAGGGCAGGGAAGAGGGCAGCTCCTGCCACTGTGCACACCCTGGGGGAGGCAATGGGGGCACATGCCCCCAGATTTGTGCATGGGATGAAGGTGGGCTGCTGCTACATGCTCAGGGCCAGGGGCTGCCCCTGGGCTCTTCCTGGGCTGGGCCCGTGCTATGTTCAGGGTGGGGCAGGCAGTGGCAGCAGCACTGGGATGGGGAGTTACGAGGGGGGCTACAGCCACCCCAAAATTCACCGTAGCCCACCCCATAGCTCCCCCTCCCAGTGCCAGTTCCACCGCCACCTGCCCCACCTGGCTAAAGTGCAGCCCCTGGGCCTGAGTATTCACTGGGCATCCCACCTTCACCCTGTGCACAGATCCAGGGGGCGCATGCCCCTCATGTCTCTCCTGGGGTGTACACAACAGCAGGAGCCGCTACCCCTGCCCTACCCCCCCCCAATGAGCCATGGTTCTGTCCCGTGGCCTGCCCTATCCCAGTTGTGCAGCACCTGCCCCAGCCCCACTCCCTCTTTCACTGTGTATGTCTCTATCTGCCCCCTACGCCCTTTCCCCTCCCCCCCCCCAGTCTTACCTGCCAGATGCTTGTCTCCAAGCGGCCGGGCTTTATTCCTGGCCCCATGCATGCTGTGGCTGCGCACATGCACGTGGCATTTATCAGCTACATTATTGGCCACATCAGCCAAAAAAAAGCTGATTGCCAATAATGTCAATTTTCCTTTTTATCAGTGCTGATACGATACGGACCAACATATCAGTGCACCTCTAGCCAAAACCTTTGCAGGTGCACCGAGATCTCTAGTTACACATTAAACAAGGGTGGGTTGCTCATCGTAACAATATCCCTTGTGAGCATTCTTCCTAAATCCACAATTCTTCTTGGTTCTTTAGTTCTGAACTCATGATTATATGAGCAGTGGACTGAGTTCATCTGGTTTCATTTAATCATCGCAGACAGATGGAGAGCCCCCATCTTACTCTGAGCAAAGGATACATGTGCTTAGGGCAAACTGATCCCCATCCTGGGGTTTGATTTTACAGGGAACTCAAGCAACAACAGAGCACAAGCCTTCTCCCTCCACTTGGCTGTTGCTAGGGATTCTTCCCCCCACAACTCTGAATTCCCTGCCGATTTTGAGAGAGACAATCCTACCACTTTTGTACAGCAAGTAAAATGGTACACCTTCCATTATGGTAGAAGTGTAACTACTGCCTCAGTAGTGGGCACACTGCATCTTTATGATGAGGTCAGGCAATGATAAGCTGAGTGGGTAAAAGGTGCTTGCATCTGTGTCTTAACCTTACCTCCTCTAAAACACAGAACTCAGAAAGGATCACACATAAGGGCATACCATAAGCTGTAATCACAGAGTCCTCCCTTCAGATGTATCAACAGACCTGATGGCTCTGTCTGAAGAAAGCTACCATTCATTGGGATGGGGGCTGGGGAGGGGAGGTAACGAATTAATATTGTTTGAGTTACCATTGCTGTTGTGAATCTGCGTCATCTGTGACCTTTGGACTTGGCTCTGGAGAAGGAGGTTGCCTCTTTCTCTCCTCTTCCTCTTGCTGTCGACGTACTTCCAGTAACTCCAACTGGAGAGTGAAAGTATTTGTGGATGTTAAAGACCTGCAGCTCATCCATTTTTCATAAGCATTTCTAGAAACTAACAATATCCCCATTCATTTTGCTGACACAACACTAGTATCAAAATTTACTGCACACCAATACTCAAGTGAGTTGTCAGCCTAGTCAACATGATGGTGTTCAGTATCAGGTCCCTAATTACTATTGTTTACATCAGCATCCACAATTGTTTCCACAACTGTTTACTGCCCATGGTTTCTATTTTCAAAACAAATACACTGCATTACATATACAGAAAACATCCCAAACTGTTAAAGGCTGGAGCACAGGGATAACCTACTTGCTTGACATACACTGTGACAAGTACCAAACTTGACTGGCTAAATTTATCCATCTAAATAAAAACAGCCTGATTTTCAAAGGTACTGGAAACTGCAGCTCCCATGAACTGCAGCAGCAGCTGCGATTCTCAGCACATGTGAAAAATCAACCCACTTTCATTTAAGTGACTGAAATAAATTATTCTCCAAACATAATAGCAGGCTCTCCAAGTATTAATTATTGACATTGCAGCTGAGCTCCAGAGCCTTCTTCTGGCTCCCCATACTTTTACTGGGGCACTTCCAGTTGTTGGCTTGCATTAGAACCAATCAAAGCAGGTGTTACAGCCAATCGAAGCTTGCTAACTTAGTGAGGAGGGCTTTACACTAGGTTCACAGAGGAATGGAGAACAAAGCCCTGAGGTAAGTGGGAAAGCAGGGGACCTGGAGGAAAGGCAAGCAGGAGGGGGCAACAGGTAGGCCTCATTCTTCCTGAGAAAGTAAGGCAAACAGCTAGTCACGTCAGGTGTCTGCACATGTTTCCTTCAAGCAGGAAGAATTGGAAGTCCTTGCATAGTCAAGGAACTATGATGTGAATAACAGAGACTTGGTGGGATAGCTCACATGACTGGAGTCATGAATGGGTACAAACTGCTCAGGAAGGACAGGGAGGGGAGAAGAGGAGGAGGATTTGTGGTTTATGTAAAAGAGCTGTATGATGGCTGTGGAAGAAGAAAACCCCAGGCCTTAATTTCTGCTGACTTCTTGAGTAAGTGCACTATTTGTTAATGATTGCTTTTCCCCACCTATCTGCAATCTGCTCTTTCTCCCGCCCTTTTCCCTTGTTGAGCTGAGTAGACCTATGAGGTCAATAGGTCAAACCACAGTCTATGCCCTCTTGCAACTTTCTGGTTGAAACCAGTTTTTTCATTGACTTGTTATATCTTGTGTCATGTGACCTGAATTGAAACATATAAAAGGCTTGCTTCAATTGTCTGCTGGGGGGGAGGGCGCATGCAGGACTGATAAGAGGCTCTGTCTGTCCGGTGCTCTTCCCAGCAGCTGCTTGTATAATAAAGGTCTCTGACAACTTCGTGACCAAACAACAGAGTGAAGCTTGTTTCTTCCACATGGCTCAGAGCTCCAGTATGAAACGATAGGCCTGTCAAAGTCTCTGGGTTAGGATCAGAGGGGTGAGCAACAAGGGTGATATGTCATGGTGGGGGTCTGACAGACCACCAGACCAGGAGGATGAGGTAGACGAGGCTTTCTTCAGACAACTAGCTGAAGTTTCCAGATCAGAGGCCCTGGTTCTGACGGGAGACTTCAAATCACCCTGATATCTCATGTGAGGGCGATGCAGCAGTGCACAGGCAATCCAGCAAGTTTTTAGAGAGCATTGGAGATAACTTCCTAGTGCAAATGGTGGAGAGACCAACTAGGGGCCATGCTCTTCTTGACCTGCTGCTCACAAACAGGGAAGAGTTAGTGGGGAATGTAGTAGATGATAGCAAGTTGGGCACCAGTGACCACAAGATGATCTAGTTCAGGATCCTGACAAAAGTAAAGATGGAGAGCAGCAGAGTATGGAGCCTGGGACTTCAGAAAAGCAGATTTTGACTCCCTCAGGGAACTGATGGGCAGGATCCCCTGGGAGGCCAGTCTGAGGGGGAAAGGAGTCCAGGATTGCTGGCTGTATTTTAAGAAAACCTTACTGAGGGCATAGGAACAAACCACCCTGATGTGCAGGAAGAATAACAAGTGTGGCAAGCAACTGGCTTGGCTTAGCAGAGAACTCTTCAGTGAGCTTAAGCACAAAAAGGAAGCAGCCTTTGGGAATTTAAGAAGTACTCACCGTAGTCAGTCGTTCCAGTGCTGCAAACCTTTCATCCCAAGTAGCTGCAGATTTCTCAAATGCTTCATGCCGCTTAATTAACTTTTCCACTTCATCCACACTTTGACCTATCTCACGGCTGGATAGGTATGGCTCCTGCCCCAGCAGCCAGGCCTCTGCCACGCTAGCATCCCTTGAAAACTGATGTACCTCCAAAACTGAGCAAAAACATAAATAAGTCAGTGTCTAGCAATACTGAAACACAGCACAGTGTGATCAGGCCCCTTCAGAAAGTGATTTTAAAATCTGGCAGGGTAAGGGAGAAGACTATTTAAGTTCCTTAGGGATGCTCCTTACACAGTCTGGTTTGCTCCTGACACTAGCAGACAAGACATATCCTGCAGAACGCCTCAATGTCTCTTGCGGTTGGAGAAGGAGTGAAGAAGGAATGTGTGGCAGTCTGGCGCTCCAGAGAATAACTATGCTATGCTCTCTCTAGTGCTTGCTTTTATTAATGAGTAGTTAATGCACTGAGATATGTGAGTATCCAAGACCATGAGCTTCTCTAAATGTGCTAGTGGTGCAGGGCCCAATCTAACTGAATTTGGCAGCTAGTCAAGGGCAGCATCACGGACTCAGGAACCCACACATCAGTATATTACCTATCCATTAATAACAAGGTAACTATTCCCTGGAAACCTAAATGGTTTCAAGATGTAAGAATACAAAATTTATTAACTAGTGTGTTTTCAAACATGAAAAACTTGTAAGAGAGGGAATAGTCAATAAAAATACTGTAACAACACAGTACACAAGAATGGTATAATAAGAAAATTGACTGAGGACTTGACCCCATCACCTAGCTGGATCTATTTGAGAATCTGTGAAATGTGACCACATCATGATGCAATGATATCACCATTACTGGCTTTTTGTTTCCAATGTAGGAAATCTAGAGGTTTCTAAAGTTTAGTAGTACATCATTTCTTAACCCATCTATTTCTAGACATCTAGACTCTCTTACGTTACACAATGTAAGTATGTGCTGCACACATGGAGCATGCTTAGACTGGTCTTAAGAGTGCCTTTTTGTTACTGCTTCTTTTGTAGAAACTCAGTAAATGGAGTTATTTTACTGTGTAGTCAGTAAAAAAAAAAAATCCAAGTAATGTATCCATAGTCCAGGAGGGCTCTAATTCTGCCCTCCTTGAGGTTAATGGTAAACTTTCATCGCATCTGAACTTTTCTGGTGCAGGCCTGACCCTTGACATAGTCTTTACCATGCAAATTCACCCCCAAGTAATGCAAATCAAAAGGTAAATAGCTGCGTTTTCTTTCACTGGTCACAAAGACATCAATGCAGATGTAGTTATAGGTCACCCTGCTGAAGAACTAAAGTGCATCCTTACTGAGTCTCAGCCATTCCCATCTGTCTTCCCATTTGTCAATCATTTCTTTCCTCTTCTCTGTCAACTGCAGTAGCTTTTCCTTGATCTGAATTTCAGAAGAGAATGAAGGAAGGTTATGCAAGTACCAAGTAAAACAAGATCATCCCTGCATAAGAAGGTATTGCAAACAAAAGGTGCCAATTTTCTCACACAGGATTCTTTGTACAAGGCTGTCAGCAAGGCTTCATGGAGGAGAGTGTAGTTGGTTTCTCTTAGGATGATGAGAACAAACAGATGTTGTGAATCCTGATTAGAAGCGCACTTCCAAAATTAAAAGGTGCCATTTGCATGAATCCATACATTTGTTAGAAAGTGAAAAACTTGGAATATTCAATAAAAATCTAAATTAGACACAGCTTATTATGCCAAAAAATCCACCTGATACAAACATGCAATCTATCTTTCACCTGTTTTTGGAAGATAATCCACATACTAACCCTGCTAAATACCCATAGCAAACTACGCTGACAATACCAAAATACACTGATACCCTAACATGAACCTTCCATTTATCTCAACAAGTGTATTGTTTGAAAATATCTCTTTGAGAACATGGCACAGTATTCACTTGTAATGCAGGCACAGAAAATACTAGCCGCCTCTATATGTAGCAATCATCTGGCAATGATATTTTTATCCCATGGGGGGCAGCAAAGAAGTAAGAGCTGAGCCTATCTTTTTGGCTATACAGTCTAATTGCGTCTAGGGGTGCGACAATAAAGATTTTTTTGGCCAATCCCGATGGCCAATTATTAACTAGCCACGTGGTCTGATACTGATTGGATAGCCAACATGCAGCCCAGCAGCTTGGAGATCAGTGTCTGGCTGGTATGTCTGTGGAGGGAAAGGGGGGGACTACAGGGAACTGTGGGGTGGCTATAACCCACCCTGTAGTCCCTCCTCCCACCACCACCACCCACCTGCCCCGAGTGCAGCCCTGGCCCAGCCCCACCGCCAGGAAAAGGCCAGTGCAGTCCCTGGCCCCGAGCCTGTAGCAGGCAGCTCGCCCTCACCCCGCACACAAATCTAACAGGGACACATGCCCCCCATGCCTTCCCTGAGGGGTGCACAGGGACAGGGAGCTGCCTGTGGCTCCATCCTCCCCTGGCTGGACAGCACCTGCCCCTGCCCCACTGCCTCCCTCACAGTGGGGGCCTCGTTCTGTTCCCCCCCCACCCCTTGTTTTCCCCACACCTCCCCAACAGACTTACCAGCCAGAGGCTGCTTCCAAGCTGCCAGGCTGCATTCCTTGCACGCATACAAGTAGCATTTATTGGTGATGTTATTGGCTACACTGTCCAAAAAAAGCCAATTGCCGATGTCAATTTTCCTTTTATCGGTGTCGATCCAATATGGACTGATATACTAGTGCACCTCTAATTGTGTCCCAAAATGGCCAAGGTAAATATGGAAAGAAACCCAGAGTTCAAGCAGTGGCAAATCAGATTCTCAACGCTGGATTTGTTTTTTCTTAATATTCTACCATAACCAAACTAGAGATTGTTCCTGCCCAATGAGGCTCAAACCTTTGCCCCCTCCTCAAGCAGGCTCTGCAGATAACTCTGGTACACCTGGTGCAAGACAGAGCTGGCTTCATTGCCTCTCCCCTTGCTTAAAGAATTCAAAATTCTACAGTTCACAATCCTCCCCCCTAGCCAAACAGGGTATGAGTCACTTCTGTGTGTTCCCTGGAACAAAAGGTTTTGTATAAGCTTAGGTATCAATTTGGGGACAGTTTCTCTATCCCACATGGATGGGAAGAGTGAAATTATACAGCAATCTCACAAACACAAGCACAATGGACCCTGAAGCACTGCATCCTAATGTAAATGAACATCTCATTAGTCAACAGATTGCACAATGCAAGCCTTCTACAGTCAAAACAAAATCCATAGCTGCACTGCACTGAAGCTTCTGTGTAATCAGAAAGCACAGTACCTCTTCTGATGCATAGTGTTTTCTTGCCAGGAGAGATTTGCCAAGTTCAATGCAGGTAGTAAAACTGTCATTGCGGGCATCAATTTCTGCTTTAATACCCTGGTGATTGTTCATTAGTAATTCAACAGATGAGACATCCCTAAAACAACAAATCTGTAGTTCAGAAATGTATGCTCTCAAATTAACATCACTGTCGAGTCAACATATTGTTAAGCAAATCAGATAGTGTAGAAATGCAGAATACTACTTTTCAACTAGAGTGCCAATAGATCGTTTGCAGGGCACCATGAGGTGTGAGAAAATAAACAGATAAAGGCAAGATCAAGCTTGTCCCTGATGGGTCAATCCCCCACCCCCCCACTGCCTGGCCCCTCTGCAAGGAGGTAATAAACACTGTAATATATGAATTTTTTTTTTTAATTGAGTGTCACTCAATTCACAAAGGGTATGGAGGAGTACCTCAAGTCCAAAAAAATTGAGAACCACCGATTTAGAACTTAATCCCTAGTTTGCCATTGCATGAAGGAATGAGATGGTTGTGCACTTCTTTGTTAAGAATGAACCCATTTTGGTCTGAAACAGATTACAATGTGCAAAATCATGTGATATTAATTGTCCAATACCAGCTATGCCCTAGTGGCTCCTTATATACTTCTCTGCAGCCAGCCCTGCATTGCCTCCAACCTGCCAGTCGGCACAGCTCTAGGTCCTAATCATGGGGTCGTGGCTGTCATGCCACCTACCCACCACTCCCTGCTCCTCAGTAACCTTTCTAATCAAAGTATCCAAATAGCCACTGTGTTCCACTTGCCTGGAAGCATCCCACTTCTCCATTCTCCTAACTGCTCAATAGTCCTCATCTACCAAGCATCCTGCAATATACCTCTCCAACTTTTCAAGTTACCTTGGCTTCTCCTGGGCTTCAATCTGCCGAATAACATCTTCCATCCAAAGCATGAGATCCCGAACCATGCTGAAGAAACGGAATTTGTCCCCTGTATCTACCAGTCTAACCCTGCGTCCCTCGCAGGCATCTAGCAGAGCTTTCCAGGCTTCTAGGACTTCATTCTCCCTCTTCTGGATGTCATCAGCCTTGTCCCCAGCATAGGCAGCCTGAAGACGTGCAGCATCCTCCTGCAGTTGTCTCACCTAATGAGGGTGAAGAAGAACAGCACCTCAACTCACATGTGCCTGTTACACATTTGCATCTGGAATGTATTTAGACTTTGGAGTATCACGAACCATTTCTTAATGTCTAATACTTTCATGCTTCTAAAATACAGAATTTACCATTCTGAAAACCTTATTTGGTATCCTCTTAGCTTTCTGTTTTAGAAAGGGGGAGAGGGACTACATAAAGAACAAGAGACCTTTGGTTAATAAACCTCACAGGAAAGAGATGTACACTGTTACCTGCACCAATACAAAGGGATTAAGAGATTTAAGGCCAGAAGGGACATTTCCGATCATAAAATCTGACTTTGCTAGCATATGTCAGTATTTTCTGTAACAAGCCTGTAACTCCTAGTTGACATGCATCATATCATTTAGAAAACCATCCAATCTTGATACAAAGACTTAAAATGACAGAGAAACCATCATTCCCCTTGGGTAAGTGGTCCAATAGTTAATTACCCTCATTTAAAAAAATCTGCAACTTATTTCCTGAGGGAATGTGTCTAAATGGTCTACCCATTAGATTTTGCCATGCCTCTGTTCATAAATTAAAGAGACCTGTACCATCAGAAATCTCTTCCCCATAGAGGCCATAATCAAATCATACTCTCTTTGATTAAACTAAATATTGTTTTACAGCTGCCTCACTAAAAGGCATGTTTTACTAAAGTGCAAATCATTCTTGGATAATTTTTTGAACTCTTCCCCTACTTCTTTCAATACCCTTCTGGAAGGGTTCACACCAGAACTACATATAGTATTCCAGCAATGCAGATCAAGATGTACAGATAACTTTTGTACTCCTACTTTCTACTCCCTTGTTTAAATATCCAAACACAGAGCGAGCTCCTCTGACGACAGCACTGCCCTGAGATTCCATTTTCAGTTAGTTACCCAAATCACAATCCCTAAACCTGTTTGAGACCGTCTCCCATCTTTTTATGGGGCTTGCATTCCATGGGCGTAAAGCACTATCAGAATGGAAGAAAAAAGTGTTATACCCACTTTGCTCTGGTGTACACTACATACATATATTGCAGAACAATAGTGAACTGGGCTCAGACAACTTAGCCACAAACTTACTTCCTTTAAAAAATAATAAGAATTGTTATTAATAGGACCCTGGATGATCTATTAGGAACACAAGACTGGAAGGATTATCAAGCCTAGTCGCTTGTGATTAAAGACAACTATGCAACAAACATCTGCCCAAACACATGCATAAGAATATCCACTTTGGCTCTTCCTGCACACCACAATCACCATTCACTCTACAAAGAAAAAACTCATAGAAACAGAGCTGGAGAGTCAAGGGCATCATCCGTGTGTTTCCCAAATGATATCAAAGTCTTTGTCAGAAGTTTCCTCATCTATACTTTTTAAAAAGTATCACAGAAAGGAATGTTGGAGGAGTTATGAAGTCACAAAAAGGCTAGTTATTAGACTGACTGTGTGGCAGCTAAAAGTCTACATACTTCATCAATTAGTAGAAATAATAATATCAAGTATGAGAAAATTTTGAGAGGATTAAGTGTTGTCATTTAAATTCTGTCCCACCACATACTGTTTGGAACATGCTCATCCACTGAACAGCTGAAACTTGTCCAATATTCAGAAAAAAAATTAAATATGGCCACAGTAACCCAGAAAACTTCCCTTGCATCTCATTAAGATACCGAGTACCACTGTACCCCAAGAATTTAGGTTTATGGCACAGAAAAGTCTGTACTTGAACATTATTCCTGATATAAACACCCTGACAGATTTAACGTCAGTCCAATGCCTTTTTCTGAAACTGCTTAAGAGGTGTTCTGTTTAATTCAATTTAATTTCGATCAGAAGGTTATTTAAAAGCTTATTTTCCAAACAAATGAGCCAGACGATCTAACACTGACAATATATGACCGGTCTTCTGGGGGGCTGGTTTGATCTGTCCATCTCCCATTCCCTCTATGTTTTCATATTGGTACACTACTCACTAAAAACAGGAACTGCATGGCTAAGTCCCCAGCAACAGGAGGTGAAAGTCTGAACCTCACTGCCTGTCCTCAGAATCAACAAATAGGTCCCCTGACTTCTTTTGTTCCTAACCAAGGGGAGGAAACGGTATATTTCAATAGAGAATTATCTATACCTTTTGAATAACTTGAGCTTTAAGAACACCTGCAGATCTACCCACCATTGGTCATTAGAAAAGAAAATTACAAAAATAGGAGGGAAAATAACTCATGTGAAGCTACTCACATAGAGATGCATTTTGAAAAGCAGACAGCAGTTTGATCTCCTAGCCAGTTGGGGGCAGAAATAAGAGCAGAACTCAAATTCCCAGATTCCTACATCTACACACTGAACAGCACACACTTAATACACACCTGGGTGCCCAAAGCTTGGATATCATGTTCAAACGTTGTGTGCATTCTCTGTAGTGTTTCCACTGTATTTTGGTCTCTACCAAGTTCTTCAGGTAACTTCTTATGTTTATCTTGGATACGTCCTAAGATCTCCTTGGCATCATGGTAAAATTTATGCAGTTCATAAGAGGCAGCTAGAATCTGTGTTCTTGTGTCAATAAGCTCCAACAGGTCAGCCCATGCCTCATTGAGACCATCTTTCCATTCTGCAATGGTGGCAGCATCAGAATGTCCTGAATTGATGAGCTCGTCAGCCATATGGTTAACAGTATCAACCCGCTCCTGTCCAATGTTTCCAGTGTCTCGAGCAAATTCACGGAATCGCTCTTGTAGCATCTGAAAAGTGTATAAACAACAACTGTAAAAACACTGCTGTTTGTACTGATCTTCTTGTTGTTAATCTATCATCTAGAATTACAAATACAATGCAGCTATGATGTACTCTATCACTTTTGGAATATGCCCCAGATCAGCAGAAACTTTATAACAGCAAATCTTCCAAGTGCTGTAATTCACAGACTAGAACCAGAGGCAGTTCAAGACCAGTTCAGAAATCCTATGATACACCACTTACATTTTTAGTAAGCAAACAGAAAGCAAATAACTGAAGAGCTCATACTGGTATACATATACAATCTGGTCCACAAAATATGCAAAACTTGCCATTGATTGAAATCAGCCAACTTTTGTGTGCAACTCACCAAAAAATTAGACAAGTCTGCTGCCAAAGCCAAAAAGAACTCACCGTTACATGTTCATAATCCTGTCCCAGCTCATGGGATCCGGCCACCACCTCCCTCTCAGCAATCCACTGCTCCAAGTCATCCACTTCCCGGTTAAGCTGAAAGAGCCTGTGTCTCTCGTCCAGTTTGCCCCTCCTCTCTTCAGCTAGATCCTTCAGGCCTGCATACAGCTTATCTACCTTGGACTGCCGCATACTGATGCGCTCGCTAGAGAAGAAACAAATCAGCAAAAATTGTACTGAGACATCACCAGGGTTTTGAAAGAAAATAAACCCTAACAACAAAATCTAAGAGGGAAAAAATTATTCTCTGAATGCTTGGCTCCTAGAACATCTCTCTCTAGGGTGCACAAAACATCCTGGGCTACATCCTTAGCTCGTGTAGTTCCACTGAAGTCAGTGAAACTGCTGAGTACATTAGCTGAAGGCTCAGCCCAACGGGTAAAAACCTAAAACATGCATGGACTACAGAAAATGCTAAAAGTGAACAAAGCTGGTCATTTGTCTCAGCTGGAGACCATTCAGTGGACTTGTTCCATAACTAAGAGGAAGGACCTGAGCTATTATTTGCTTGGCTCAGACAATTAGGATTTCCTTCTCTGTTAGAAGTTAATTCTAAATTGACAGTCAAGAGCACCAACAGATTTCTTTCATCCCAAGACTCAGTGTTTCCACAGGAAAGTGAAAGTTCCATTTGCCATCTTCTTTGCTTTGATTTCCCGTGAGCTGCAAAACTCCCTTTTAATATGCCTTTCCTCTGCCTTATTATAAATTACTATAATATTCCAATATGCAACCAGCAGAACCGTAAGAGCCCAGAGACTAAGTCTCTTTACTGCTGTTAAGTGACCACTAGGGAGTGCTTTTGAGTCAAGGGAGGTGGAGATTGAGCCATCTCCAAATACACCAGTTCCATTCCAGCACCATTTTGCTTTATTGTTTATATTTCATTTTCTCCCAAGACAATGAACTATTAAAGTTAATTCACAGTCTAATTAATAAGCAATATTAACCTTTCTGGATGATTGTCTGCAACCAAAGTTCTGCTGGTCCTGGAAAGCTGATGCACTGTCTCAGCATAGTCTTCTACGGCCTGTTCCAAAATCTGGTGCTTCTTCAACATGGATACTGCACTCTGTTCATCCTGTAACAGTTACAGAAATGAGTCTGGTTCCTCTATTCCATGGAAGTATGCAGCAACAATGAGCTCATGTTGGTGCATGAAGAAAGTCCAGTGGACTTGCCAGCATTTTAAGAAACTGCTAAAAAGTTGCTTTCAAACACAACTTGGAGACCTTTGTTCAGATAATGGTATATAACTAGTTGAGCCTATAGTAAATGGTAACCACAGACAAGGAAATTACAAGTGAAAGGATGGTATCCAAAACAAAATTAAATCCATTATGCATCAAGCATGCTGCATTTCCTTAATTGTGAAGCTCTTAGACAAGCTTCTAGAACACTGTTGATTTGCAGGGCTCCAAAGAAAATTAACACATTTTAGGTGGATCACTTGTCTGGCTTTGCACTTACAAGCTTGGGTCAAAACCAAGGAATTCTAAGCAGCATGGAAAAACTTGCTTCCAACAAAGCGACTTTGTCAAAACTTGCAGTGTGTAATTAAAATGACAACTAAACCCAGCTCACTATGTTACTTGAAGTCACCAGTAAACTTTTCTCCCTTAGCCATTCTGGTAGACTGACTGTTTGTGGTTAGAATGTAAAGGAAGATTCCTTTCATTTGCTTGGCTTAGAAAATTAAGAATTTTTTTCTATCTGGAAACTGAATGCCCATGGAGCTGTTGCATGGGTGTAAAAATATTATTCATTTTACCAGATTAATCAATGCATTCTGTCATCATTATCATCCTAACAGCAGCAGCAACAATAAACACTGAAAAGTATTGAACTTAGAACAGATTTGGAGAACTGTTTCTCTGATGTGTGTGACTTCAGTGGAAACAGCATGATCTTAACCGAGTGTTCAGGAATTCTGAAATTGTGAGCTAGATCATCAATGTGGTCTGGTTGCTTTGTGCTCCTCCAGTGATGAAAAACTGCTGGATAATTTGACCTTATACCAGCATACAGAAAAACATGCATACGCCACACACCCTGTGCTAATACATGGTGGTGCTATTATTATCTGAGGTTGCTGCACCGTTAATCTGAGTTGATATAGCAAGAACAATTCTCTGGGAGCTCCACCCAGTAAGATGTGTCTTGTGAAATGACTCAGTCTCAAGAGGGCAATTCAGTTACTGCGTTTATGACATACTGTATTATGCCTCCTCCTACTCTTTGCTCATAGCAATTAGAAAGCAAGTTTGTTTCACTGTAAAGTTGCTCACCTTAGCTTTCTCTTCTGACATCATATACAGCTCCTGCTCGCTCATCCAGGCCTCAGCCTCAGCAGCATCGAAGTAATACTGCTGTGCTCTGTGAGACTCCTCCAGGCGCTTGTGGCGTTTCTCTGTCTCCTCAATTAGGAGGTTCCACAGCTGCTGCAAGTCACCAAGTCGCTGCTGAATCGCTTCGGCATTAGGGCTGCTGTCTGTAAGGATATTCTGGCTCCTCTCAAAAATGTCATCGATGCGAGGCTGATGCCCTTGGATTTCTTTCTGAAGTGTCTATACAGGAAAACAATGAGCTCATTAGAAACTCTACCCAAACAAATGCTTGTGAAAATGATGAGGCCCAGCAAGGCTGTCATCTAAGGACAGGATCAGGTGCAGCAAAAGGCACCTTAGCTGTCTGGACTGCCTTGTTTGACTGACAAATGAAGACTGTCTCCTGCATAAAGATATCAGAGGGATAGGGAACCTCTGCACTTTTGCCACTCCCAGCACACTCACTCTGGAGCATCCACTGTCTGGCCTAAGCATTTTGAGCAAACTCCTCCCAAGCAAAGCCTCCTGAAATATTTGTCACAGTAAAGTCCTACTGCATACTGAGAACAGCTAGCTAACACAGCATAGGTATCTCTGAAAGCAGTACACACCTGATTTTTCTTTATTAGTAGCTGAACAGTCTGGAGGTTATGTCCATGATCAGTAGATGTTGCTATAGGCATCCTCTCGCCAACCCACAACTAAAAGAGAAATGACCAAAACAACTTCATTAATAGAGAAATCCTAGACAGATGGGAGAGGAGAGGAGAGATGAAGTCTGGGAGACCTGGGACTTGGAAATGCAATAGTATCACAGTGGCGTTCAACCTTTCAGCCCCACAGATTGGATGAGTGGCATGAGGCTGGTCCACGGGTCAGATCCCACATGGTGTTGGGCCGGATCCCACATGTCTAGATCCTCCCACATCCCACTTGGATCAGGCCCTGTGCTGCCCTAACCCTGTGTGTTTGATCTAGCATGCAGAACCCACACTATCCACTCACAGGGTTCCCCACAGATCTGGATATTTGACAGCTGGGAAGTAGCAATTAATGCTGCCACAACTCTCTCACCACAAAATTTTTGGGCCTGTGGGGAACCCTGCGGGCTGGTGATTAAACACCCTTGGTCTAACATATTAGTGATAGATGAACTCAAACCAGTTTCAAATGCCCGACCGTTCTGATTGTTTACAAGGGGACCAAGGCTTATACTCACAATCTCATCTTCTACGTCCCTGTTGAACTGGTGGATCTCTTTGGAGGCCAATAGATTTGCCTTCCTTTCAGTTAAAGGTTCCAGTAATTCCAAAAATTTCTGCTCTACAATAAGACGTTTACCATCCACCTCATCAGTACTCTTCCCCTCCTGGCTCAAAGCCTGTGCCTGGCTTTGTAGCTCTTCTATCTCCTTCTTACGAACATCCATTTGGTTCTCAAGCATCTAAAAAAGGGGAAAATATGCCATCAGTACTTGAAAAAAAAAATCCCCATACACTTATTACATGTAATTTGTCTGACTGGAAATGTCACTACCTTCACAATGTTGGACTAGAACAAAAGATGAATCACAGTATGTAGGAATCTGCCTTACACCAGTAATTATTGGAACACTTGAACATGTCTTAAAATGCCAGAAGTATTGCCCATGTGTACTAATGCATCCTTCCTGTTTGGACTGAGGAAGACACCTGCAAAGAGGGCACATTAAGGCCAGGTTCCCTGATGAACAACAGGGCTTAACATCACCGAAGTCACAAGGGGTACTATATGTGTTTGTGCAAGGGGTGAATTTGGTTACTAGAACTTACTCTTTACTAGCTACTCATAATTCAATCTAACAATTCTGGAGCAGAATAAACAGTAAGGGCAGAATGACTTTGCTCATGGCTCTAACTATAGGGAATTAGGGAGCAAGCAGCAATTTGAAGATGGCAAGTGGAGGGCAAACAAATACTGGAGGATCATCCTGAGGGTGAGAAACAGTATAAATAGGCAAATGGGAGGAAGGGAGGGAGGGAGAGGGGAAGTGACACTGAATATTTGGGGTCAGTGTGTCTCTGATTGTCCTCTCTTGTTTAAGGGAAGGCAAAACTAACAGGAAGAAAGAATAAACTAAATCTTCTTCTAAACTGGAAGCATTGCTTGCGTCTTCCTAAACTTGTGTAGAGCTGCCCTTTTTCCCTCTTTTACACAAGCCACATCTCATTTACCTGTTGTTTTTTCAACAGAATGTTGACGCTGGTAAGATCCTTTCCATAGTCATCAGATTGTATCTGGCACTCCAAGCCATTCAGCCATTTATCCAGATCAGCACAACTCTGGGTGAACAGCTCAGCTTTATTCGCATCAAAGAGTCGCTGAGCCTTGGTCTGAGTGGTAGATTCAAGCTCCTCCCACATTTGGTGTAGACCTGTCAGCTTTTCTTTCACTATGGCCTCAGTCTCTGGCTTCTCTGCAATGAGTTGCATCCCTTCCTGTAAAGTACAAAGCAAATTAAATGAAACGTCAAGCAGGAGCATCACAGTTCTGTTCATTAAATTAATCTCAGTAATAGAGTCCAGGGTCCCTTTTGATTTGGCAGCACCAGCCACCCAGTACTATCACAATCTCATCTCAAGGTTTCTTTTCAGGGCAAAGACTTCCAAGTCCTCTCCACTTCCAAGAGAGGGTTTTCTGCAGGCGCTGGAGTTGTGCGGGGGGGGGGCGGCGGCGGGCTGCATGGGTGGAGAGCGTTGGCTGCACACTGCCATTTTTCATTTAAACCTTGCGGAAGGTCCCTCATGATGGTTATGTAGGGATTCAGATTACATGTTTTGGCTGGAATTGGAGCACACTTCCCAAGAGACCTGTGGAGCAACAAGGAGGAGGTGATGACAGAAAAAAAAAAACGTTGCCCTAACTTGTACAGAATCCCTGCAGTACCACAGAACATTTTATATAAAGGGCTGGGGGAATTTAGGCTAAAAGAAGCATGGCTGTGCTGTAAAATGGAGGATGGGTGAAGACAGTCATGCTAAGGGGGACTCTGTATGGATGGACAGACTTTGAAGTCTTAGCTTCTTTTGCATATTTGTTTCCCTTCCATGTAGGAACAAGACAGGCTAGCAAGTTGGGTGGATCAGAATCTGATGAAGTTCAACATTGAGAAACGTAAAGTGCTCCACCTTGGGATGAGCAACCCTCAACACACCTACAGGCTTGGCAGCACCAAACTGACTAGCACCACGAATGAAAGTGACCTGGTGGTAATAAGAGACCACAGCATGAATAGCATGAATATGAGCTGGCAGCACGATGCTGTAGCCAGTAGGGCAAATAATACTTTGGCATGCATCAATCAATGCATCTCCAGCAAAACCAAGGAGGTGATTCTTCCGTTCTACTCAGCCCTGGTGAGACTGCAGCCTGAGTACTGCACCCAGTTCAGGGCACCACACTTGAACAAGGACTTGGACAAGCCTGAGAGGCTCCAAAGAAGAGCCATCCATATGATCAGTCTTACATGGCAAGCCATATGAGGAAAGGTTGAGGCATCTGGGACTTTTCAGCCTGAGAAAAAGAAGGCTGAGAGGGGACCTGGTAGCAGCTTACCACTACACTAGGGGAGCACATCAAGGGCTCAGTGAGCAACTGTTCACCAGAGCACTCAAAAGAAAAATCAGGAGTAATGGCCACAAAGTCCTGGAAGACCGATTCAGGTTCAACATTCAACAGACCAAAGCAGGCAAGAACGCTCAAAAGCTGCCATGGCCCACCAAAAGCATCCAGGAATGTCTCAAAGCCAAAAATTAGGTGTACACACAATGGAAGGGAGGGGCCCTCACCAAAGAGGACTATACCTCCATTGCTCGAGATTGTAGTGGGGCTGTTAGGAAGGCCAAGGTGGAGATGGAACTGGGACTAGCAATCCGGATCATGGATCACAAGAAGTCCTTTTTTAAATACGTACATACATAAAAAGAAGGTACCAAGTAATGAGGGGACTCTGCAAGACATGCTTGGTAATCTGGTGGTAGCACCAGGCAACAAAGTTAATCTCTTTAACAGTTTCTTTTCTTCCATTTTTCTGAGCAGTGACAGGGACATCCCCCACTAGGAATCCAGACGGACCCAGGGGAGGCGCACCCAGGCCCAGGGTCAGTGAGGACCTAGTCAGGGAACTTCTGGAGGGACTAAACTTAGGTGACTGTGGTGTCGATGCCTACACAGTCAGATGGGTCGCAAATTGGCAAGAGGGCCACACCCAGAGAGTGGTGGTGGACGGGTCATTTTAGACCTGGAGGGACATGGGCAGTGGGGTCCCCCAGGGCTCAGTCCTCAAGCCCCCACTGTTCAATATCTTCATCGGTGACTTGGACAAGGGGGTGAAAGGTACCTTGTTCAAATTCGCAGATGACACCAAGATGTGGGGAGAAGTGAGCATGCTAGAAGAGAGAGACAGGCTACAACTAGATCTGAACAGGTTACAGAGGTGGGCGGGTGAGAACAGGATGAGTTTCAATACGGACAAGTGCAAGGTACTTGCACTTGGGGAGGAAAAACTAGCAGCATACCTACAGGCTGGGGAACTCCCTTCTTGTCAGCACAGAGGCAGAAAAGGATCTTGGAGTCACTATCGATTCCAAGATGAACATGGGCCGCCAATGTGGGGACGCAGTCAGGAAGGCTAACCACATCTTGTCATGCATCCATAGATGCATCTCGAGCAGGTCCAAGGAGCCTCCCCCTCTATGCAACATTGGTCAGGCTGCAGTTGGAGTACTGCGTCCAGTTCTGGGTGCCACACTTCAGGAGGGATGTGGATAGCATAGAAAGTGTCCAGAGGAGGGCCACTCGCATGATCAGGGGGCAGCAGGGTAGGCCCTATGAAGAGAGGCTACGGGACCTGAACCTGTTCAGTCTACACAAAAGAAGGCTGAGAGGGGATCTGGTGGCCACCTACAAACTTGCCAGGGGGGACCAGCAAGCTATGGGAGAGTCCCTGTTCCCCCAAGCACTACCGGGAGTTACAAGGAATAACGGCCATAAACTGACTGAGAGTAGATTCAGGCTAGACATCAGGAGGCACTACTTCACAGTCAGAGCAGCTAGGAGCTGGAACCAACTTCCTAGGGAAGTGGTGCTTGCCCTTACCCTGGGGATATTCAAAAGGAAGCTAGACAATCACCTAGCTGGGGTCATTTGACCCCTGCATTCTTTCCTGCCATGGCAGGGGGCAGACTTGATGACCTGCTTAGGTCCCTTCCAACCCTACCAACTATGAAACTATGAAACTATGAAAAGTTTCTTCACAGACAGGGTGTCCAGACTGTGAAATAAGCTCCCTCCAGAGGTGATGCAATCACCTGCCCTGGAAATCTTCAAGAGGAGACTAGACAGTCAGACTGCTGACCCCCAGTTATCACCTGATCCCAAGTTATCTTTCCTGCTTGGTACAGGGGGTTGGATGTGATGATCTTTTGAGGTCTCTTCTGGCCTTACAATCTATGAATCGATGAATCCTTACAGGAAAATAGGCCCCTTGTTTAGAAAAACACCAATGAAATGGTTGGATGCAAAATATTTCTTCCTTTAGAAAGGCTGCCTTACTTTCAGAGATACTGTCTCTACTACTAACTCTGTACCTCTGGAACTGGTAACAGCTCAAAGAATAGAAGCACATGAATACTGTTAATGTTAACTCAGTCATCTGGAATTGTGGTTCAGTACATAACTCTGGTGCATGCACTTTACTTTTTGTTGCAATCTTCCTTTCCAAGGACAAAGGATGATAATACATTAGTACTGCTGAAAAAGCACTCCTACTGCTGAAAGCAGTATTTCAAATCACACCACTAAAAGGTATTACTATGTGCAGATCACTGAAAAGCCTCTAATGGGATACAAAGAGTGCCACAGTGGAAAAGGAACGAAGCAATTAAACTAACTTCAGTGAATGGAAACCCACTTTCAGGGCTGGAGATGGAAATTTTTTAGTGTTCTGGTGTTCTCCCTTTCAAATGCGAAATGGAAAAAAAAAAAAGCGAACATCACATCACATTAATGCTATTAAAATCACTTGGTACTGCTCTGTGCAGATGTTAATGATTCACAAAACTGTCTGTGCTTTACCTTTGTACATGAGGTTTGTTTTTGAAAGGTGGTGGGATTACATTCCCAAAACAGTGAGAGTCACCACGGTAACCTGGCTTTTACAGACATTTTCTTTCAACAATCCGCATAGCAAGTGTGTGCAGTTTACTAGCCAAAATGATTTTTGTGCTTTTCAGCCCAGGATCTGAAAAGCAAGCTGCGCTCTCCCTTCTCCTTCCATCATTTGGCAACAGGAAAAAAACTGGCAAATTGGTCACTAAGTACAATGTAAAAACTTGGCTCTATCGCACCCAGTTTAGATAAAATAGATTAGACTGGAAACAAAACCAATTACATGGGATAGAGGATGAACTGGGCAGATTTGTTTTTCAAAGCTTTATTTGCTCTGAAGTAATGAGAATTAGTTACTGTCAAACTGAAGAAATTATGCAAAGCAAATCTGGTCAGTATAAGGGTAACGCTTTTAGTTTCCAATCTGAACGCAACTTTATTTTATGAAGAGAGCCAGCTTATGGAATTAGTTACCTTTTCAATTTTGTCCAGCCATTCCTTATTGGATCCAAGTTCTGCCATGAATGCCTGGTGTTTTAGCCACTTGCTGTGTAGGTTCCTTGCTTCATCATAAGACATATCCTGGGCTGTAAGCATCTTCTCATTGATCCAAAGTGACAGCTGTAAAAATGTGAAAAAATGTGGTTGCTTGGGGTTAAGCATGTCTCTATAATGGAACTGGGAGAGGATGGAAAACTAGAAGATACTCAGCACCAAGGCTGAGCGGAAGTAACCCATTACAAGGATAGAGGAGAGAAGCTGGATCAGATCTGAGGCTGTTTAAATTCAGGATTTTAGGCTCTGTCCATCTCTTTTACAGCCTCTACAACACACAAATAACCAGTTTCTACCTCACAGAGAATAGGCCAGCTCCAAAACCTTCTGAAGCATGTGGAAAGACTGCCAACTCCAACGAGCTTTGGCTCTGGCCATGTATGTTTACTTCTAACAGAAGGACAGCATAACTCTTATTGCTCTCATGCACAGTATGTGATACTGAGGAAAGCTGACAAATCACACATTACCCAGATCAGGCCCTCATTTGGATATGCTGATTACCGAACACCCAAATTTACATTCAGCCCTTAACTATTGGCTGGCTTGCTTTTGGCAGCATCATTGGTGAGGCCACACGTGAAAGAGGTAGATAGATTGAGCACCCTTCTAGAGAGGATCCTTTAGGTACAGCTCTGACGTTCACTTTATGCTTAGCACATTGATAGTATGGTATTGGTAGTCTATCACTACTGCACAGACACCTAGAGGTTCATTTTTAGGGTGCTGCTGGAAAATTTGAAGGGCTTTTACTCTTCCCTACAAGTAAACAAATAGCTCCATTCACCAAAGTACAAGCAAAACTCACTGAGATCAACAGCAGCAGGGTCAGGACCATGCGTTCCATGTAATGATAGCATCTACAATCAGTAGCATAACTAAGGTGGAGTGACCAGGGCAACAGCCCCAAACACTGACTTTGCTGGGGGGGAGAGGGGGGAAATAGGAAATGGAATAACAGCTGCCGTCAAAGCCACACCAGCAACTGAAAGTTGCCCCTGCCCCAAGCACCCAGCTATACCTCTGTCTATAATATGTTTCCCCAAATTCTCTCTAGGCAAATATCAGGCCTGTATACAACCAGAATGGCAGTTAGAATTCTCTGTAACTTCTCATGCAGGACCCTGACTCTGTATTATGGTCCAACAATGTGGATCCTGTATGTTAATAGATTCCCATGGACTTCAATAGGATTACAAACAGATGTAGAGGTCCATTTTAGCTGCATCTAAATTATTCACCCTGGCCTTGTTTTACTCTTAACTGATATATTCAATGAGAATTTCTATATATACACCTATATCAAAAGAGAATCTTACAAATAAGTAATGTTTTCATACCACTTTAATATTATAGCCATAACCCTTCCCTCAAATCTTTCTACACACACACACACACACCCCCCCACACCTTTTCTAATGTTAAGAAATTCTTCAAAACTAAAGGAATTTTTCCTGTTTATAAAAATGTTTTTTCCAATATTCATTAAACTAACTCCTGTAATTTAAAACCCAAACTAAAATTGCTTTTTTACATTTTATAAACTCACTTTGCTCCTTTTGCTCAGATTTTCCTAAATTGTAGCAATAGAAAGTAAAATTGAAAATACATTGAGGAAATGAGGGCATTTTAAAAAAGTAATAGCATAGAAAGTAATAGGAGTGAAAGCAAGGCTTGCTACTAACCCTAAAAAAAGTCTCTCGAGTAGCTCATATCTGAGTGGTCTTGACATTAAAAAAAATTAGGAAGAAAGCACAAAACACCTTAAAAAAAGCTTACAAGAAGATGCCTATTCTGCATCTTTAGAGCCACCTACCCAAGGGGAAAATATCTAAACAAGTCCCAGCTTTGTTGCTAAGCAGGTCACTGCTGCAGTACAAACCATCCTACAGATAAAAACATCATATGGTAACAGAACATGTAAGTAAAACTTGCCAGTCCACCACCACTCAGTCAGCATTCCTGAACAACAATGTCCATTCATAATTCATGAACATTTTAAAGGTCATTTTAAAAGCATTGTTGAGCTCTGCAAAAACAAAAGGAAAGCCTATCTGGAGAATCAAAAAACCCCCCAATCCTTATCTGATCTTTCCATTGAATCTAAAAATGTGACTCTTACTGGAAACATTATGAGCATCCAAGTTTACAGCTGTAACAGGCATACTGACAGGGAACATACGGATTCTAAAAATTAACACATTGACCATATATTCAGGATGATTATATAGCCTTGAATTGGTGGCTGTTCTCCTGACTTCCCAATTAAAGAGATAAATGGTCCACTCTGACAACTGCAACACTCCCATTATCTGTTTTCACTCAACTGTCACATTAACTCCCTCCAGGGATCTTCAAATACCTTCCAAAGGAGGGTATTAGCATCTACATTTTACAGCTGGGGTAAACTGAAGCATAAATAAATGGAATATAGTGAGCAGTTATCAGGATATACCTGGGTCTTGTAATTCCCACTGCCCGTCTTTCCTTCTTCTGACATCACAAAGATCTCTAAATAATAATTCAAGGCATCAACATTAAAAGCTATTTTATTTACACACCAGAGACAGTTATTGGCTACTGGAACCTAGTATGTTCTGGGCCAATATAAATACAATGATAATTCAGTAGTAATATGTTCCCTGAAATATGGCCTTATTCCATTAAGGGCAACTTCATATCCTGTTGAAGTCAACTGGAGTTTTGCCATTGTTTTCAATTAAGTAAGGACTCAGTCCTTAAGGGCAATGGGAGCTAGTCTGCTACACTTCCTCACAGCTTGTGTCTTCCTCATAACACTGAATTTCAAGTGGTGTCTTGTGAATAGAGAAAACACAGATAAGAATTTAGAGAAAGGCAAGTAGCACAGATGCATGTAACTGTAGAACAATCAGGAAAGACTTGGGATTGTTTTTATTTCTCTTCCCAGACATTGTAAATCTGGAGATTGCCAACGGATCTCTCAAGGTGCAAGGTTCATAAACGTCTATAAGGAATGACAAAACCTGTCAGCATAGTCAGTGAACAGAAGACTTTGGGCTGGATGCCACATCTTTCTTTCACTCTGACTTAAAAGACACTGGACTGGAAAGCATTCAAACTCCTAAGTATTCAGACTGGAAATTCAGCTTTAAGTCTCTTGATGCAGGCTACTGAGGAATGGTGATTTGAAGAAAATGAAACCTCCAAGATTCAGTACCACTTTCTGAGAATTTCCACTTGTCACATTTTAATTTAATCCATTCACCAGATTTCTTGGACACATCCATCAGTATGCATAAGACAGACAGACAGTTAGCCTGTAAATAACAGTGTGGCAATAAACCTAACTACTTAAAAAAATAACCTGGGATATCTTCTCTTTCCTCTCCAGCCTAGAGAAAGATAGGTCTTTTAGTCCTTGTAGCTAAACTATCTCTGTAAGTGTTTCCTTATCTTCATGGGCTTCACTGAACCTTCTCCATCATAGCAGTGCCTCTTATGAACTAGAAGGGAAGAAGTGTGTGCATCACAGAACAGACTCAGCATAATAGACTTGGTGACTAATCCTGAGAGTAGTTACCCTGTGAAAGAAGTTCACTATACAGAAAAATGTCCTCCTTTCCTTTGGTTACAACTGACAGTATTGGGATAGGATCCAGAGAACTGGGGTTCAGATCTGTCTCATAATTCTTTCTTAGTCTTACGTTGTAAGCAATATGGAGCAGCAACACTTCAGAAGTGGTTCTGTAACTCAGGGAAACACAAAGCTTCCCAAAAGCCCTGATGTGCTCTACTAATGCACATAAGGTTTCTGACGTGCTCTACCGGCTGACAGAGTGAAGAGGGAAGAGTGGCCCTGCCTTCTCCGTACCCCTTAAGTATGGGCTGCACTGAATGAGCAGTCATTGCATTCCCAAAAGCACAGACCTTGCAGCTGTCTCTGTCCCCTGGTTCCTGTTTACAGTACACCATCAAGGACCTAGAGATCTGGTATTCACACTCATATAAAAAGCAAACTGACACTGGCCAACTGTAGTCTCTCTACTTCTGCCTGTGCTTCTAAAAAGGGAGGTCTCTAATTAAGCTTCAAACTTGATGTCACTTTGAGATGAACTTGAGAAATTCACGCCACTGCTGGTACCATTATCGTCAGCAATCCCTCTATTTGAGGATGATCATTCTCTACAACAACTCACGGATGGGGCTTCAGGTGACTTAAGAGTCCAATCCTTGAGCTACAGATCTGACCACAGAAGTTGCATGTCCTTCCGTAAGAGAGAGTAGGTTCTGTAAGCTAGCATTCTTTTTTTTTTTCCTTCCTCTGGTCTTTCATCTCTGCTTCAAGGGCAAGATGTTTTACCTCGAAGGGGGCTGCCACTTGGTTGAGGTTGCAAAGCCATTGGAGTTGGCTGGCAGCCAGCTCCTCCCTACTCTTGATGATGTCAGCATCTACTCTTTTGAGGTATACCTTCAATGTGTCCATCTAGCGTTTCCTCTGGCTGCTGTGAGATCTTGGGTTGCAACCAAGCTGGGAGTAGAGCACTTGTTTTGAGAGTTGAGTCAGGCATCTGCACGCAATGTCCAGTTCAGCTAAGTTGGTGCTTGAGGATCACTAACTCAATACTGGTAACACTCATTTCAGCAAAGATGTTGGGTTGTATGGCGATCTTCCCATTAGATGTGGAGGATTTTCCAGAGGCATTGGTGGTAATCTCTCTCCAGGCTCTTGAGATGTGACACTAGGTTACCCATGTTTCACATCTGTGGAACAGGGTCGGGATGCTGTGTAGACCTGGATCTTGGTGTCTTTCTGGAGACTGTGATGAATACAGACATTCTGAAGCCACTTCCCAAAGAAGGTACTTGCGGTTCCAGATCCTGTGCTGGATCTCCTCATCAATGTTCACTCTGAGAAAGGTGGCTATCAAGGTAGAGGAAGTGCTCGACTACCTCCAGGGTGTTTGTGGGGATTTGGGGGGGGGGGGGGGGGGGGGGGTCATATTTATGGCCCAGCGCAGGCTGATAGAGAACTTTAGTCTTCTCAATGTTGAAAGAGAGGCCCAAAGTTCAGCAAGCTTTTTCAAAAGATCCAGCATGGTCTACAGGTTTTCCTCAGTGTGCACAAAGATGGTGCAGTTGTCAGCGTACTGAAGGTCAAGGATGGTTGTTTTGAGTACTTGGGTCTTCAAGCAAGAGTGACCCAGATTGAGAAGCACTCCATCCATTCAGGGCTCCCTCCATCTATTCAATGTCAATTCTGGAAGGAAGCTGGTCTTTAATGAGAACCAGGATGACTGTCCAAAAATGGAGAACAGGGTTAGGGCAATGATGCATCCTTGCTTGACCCCAGTTCAGGTGATAAATGGATCTGTTTCCACTACACTACAAAGAACAGTCACAGTCATCTGTTCTGGAACAAGCCTAAGAGCTTCATGATTGATGGAAACAAAGACTTTAGTAAGGTCAATGGAGGCCATATACAAGTCTTGATGTTATTCTGGACACCTTTCTTGGACCTGATGGACAACAAAGATCATGTCTATTGCCCCACAGGATGGTCTGAAACCACACTGCAATTCCAGCAGGACTTCCTCAGCAAGAGGTAGAAGACAGAGCTCAGGAGGATGCAGGCAAGGATTTTTCCTGCTGTGGAAAGGAGAGCAATAGATACCTCACTAGTTCCTACACATAGACTCATCTTATTTCTTGAAGATAGTCATGATGCTGGGAATTTGGAGGTCCCCAGGGATCTCTTTGTTGTTCCAAATCTAAAATGTTTAAGGGCTAACCAGTGATACATGAAAGTACTCAATAATACTCTAATTCATTCCACAAATTACGGGAAAGATTATTTCCAACTTTAAAATTGAAAATGCCATCAATGAAAAAGCGATGTCAGTTGCTACAAAATCTAGAGATTTTTTTTTTTAGGAAAGTCTAATAATAATTAGAAAAAAAAACCCCTGCCTAATAAATGCCACACTAAAAACAATCCAGTGCATTCCTATTCAATCCATGTTTCTTACTTTCTGGTCCTCTTACCAAATCCTCTTATCAAATCCAGGCAGACAAAATATACACAAAGACAATCAGCCACAGGTGTGGCAGTTTATACAGTAGTGCTAAGCCCCTCCAGATTCTTTTTGACAAAGTTTAATGATAGTTTAGAGTTGGTGTTGCTTTCTTCTCCTACATGTACTATGATCAAAGAGGAAATGAAGACAAAGACAGAATCTTCAGGTAGTAAAACAGTGGAAAGGATTAACTTTACATGAATATATCTGCTTTTTGGATTGTTCAATACACACCAGATGGACATTCAAGACCTGATCCTGTAACCTAATAAAAGCTCTAACCTTCCATTATGTGCACATCAAGGAGATCTTCTTCCCATGGACTGAAGCTCTTATACACCAGAGTGATGTGACAATACCTACCTCCTGGCAATCCTGAAGAAACTTTTGAAGATCCCTGTTGTCTTTCAATCTCATCAGAAGCTCACTGGCTGCTTCACGATTCTTCCTATGTCTGTTTAATGAAAATAAAATACAAAAAACCCTGAAATACATGTTGTATGCTAAACTACAGTTTTATTGTTTTTGTGGCCTCTAGGACAGTATTTCTCAACCCATGGGCCACAACCCAAAAGCAGATCGCAAGAACATATGAAACGGTCGCAGGAACAAACTTTAAAAATAGATTCTCCTTTAAAGGAGAAAAACATGGTAAACCGTGGCTTTTCTCTTCCAGACTATCAGAGTTCCAGCCTGCAAGGGGCTGCTTGGGACCCCCATAGCCCCCCTTTTCTCCCACACACCCACCCCCTGCTCCACACACTGGGGCTGCAGGTTGGGAGTGCTGGGTTGGGACTGGCCATCATTGTTTACAAATGGGTCCTGGTACAAAAAAAGTTGAGAAACACTGCTCCAGGACACCTGCCTTGAGTACTGATATGTTGACAGCTGCTTTTTACTGCTCTTCAAGCGGAAGGTATTAGTAGGTCTTAAGCATGGTTCTTAGATAATATGCTTATTTAAATTCCTTATGCATCTTTTGATCTATTTTGGATTAGGTTAAAAACAAAGGGCCAAATTCAGAAGTCAATGGAGTATCACAGGTGTATCTCAGTACAGATTTCAGTCATTATTTTTACCACTATATGAAAGTCAAGACTTTGTAACAAGAAAACTCAAAGAAAAACCTCATAAGGATTCAGTCACATATTACTCGACCAGAACTAAGCACACAGCTGGATCCATGCATATATTTTCACTTTCAACTTCACATTAATAAACCTGCCTTTAGTAGACCAAGCTGTAGGAGTGTCAGATACTGTGTTTACAAATTATACCAGGTGACCACACTTACATAGTCTTGTAAACCAAAGTTTTCTGTATGTAGAAATACTATTTATTGGAACAAAACTCAGTTTGGAAGAAAGACATGTTACTTAGAGGGACGAATTTTTGCAGGTCCTATCTTTCATTAGAACAACTGTATGGCTGGGATATAGTTAGAAAAAGCTGGAACCTGATGAAGAATGCCTTGCATTCAAAAGTTTATCTAACTTTATCCCAATCATGCAACTGGTTCAATAAAAGGTATCATTCACAAAAATTCTTGCCTCTTGGATAATTCCAGGACCACTGGCTACAACATCACTCCAACACTACCAAAGATTACTTTGCCCTGCTGTGTAGGTTGACTTCCCTTGGGATGTGTTCAGGGGCCTATAATTGTGGTAACTGATGTGGTTTTCACACCATCAACATGTCAAGAACCTAATCTCAGCCACATAAAACTGCTTCTATTCATATGGCCACAAGACAATTTGCACTGGTTCCTCAGGCATTTTTGAAGAGATTTTGGGTACAGCAGAAATCTGTTGCATTTGTTTTCCAGATCCATCTATTATACTTTCACTTTTGAGAAGGGGGTAAGTTAAATGCAAGTGAAGTTTATTAAATATGACTGGCAGAAGTTGGAGTAAAGGTCATAATTTGCCAGTGGGTGCATCTACACGTGCGCTTTACTGCAGAGTTGACTAATTAACACTACAGCAAAGCATCGCCGTCTACACATGTGCCCCCGGGTATTAGGGCTAGGAATGTAAATATCATTTAAAAATTTAATTATTTAACCTCCTCTAATTATATCAGTTAAATGATTAACCAATAACCCAGCAGCTCTAACAGCTGCTGCTGGGAGTTGCTCCCAGTTCTGGGAGACCTTTGACTGGGGGCAGGGGAGGAAGGAGGCAAGTCCAGCCAGACAACACAGCCCACATGAAGCCCTGTGCTAGGAAAGAGGGAGCAGCTATGAACTGAGCAGCTAACTGTTTAACTGATGAGTCATTAGGCTGCTCCTGATGTTCTCCTCTTAGGCTATGGATGCTAGTCTCCCTTACACTCCCCTTCCTTCTTGTTCCTCCTTCCTGCTGCCTTCTGATTCCTG